GGAAGAAATGTTGACTCCCTCGTGCGCCAGGTATATGTGGCTTCTGGCCTCGGATTACGGATTTCAAATTACAAGGTGACCCTGGTGCACTATCAATATTTCCTCATGCAGCGCCTAGACAGTATCATTGCCACCTTCCCAGACAACCAGGGCGAGCTGGCGAAAACCTTTGTTAAAGAAGCTATGCAAGTGGCTGTGCAACAACTTTCTATAGCCAGGCACCATGTAGATACTGATTCGAGGTCGCTTGTCGGTGCCATTTCTCTCCGCAGACACGCCTGGTTGCGTAATTGCAACTTTCCAGAAGAAATGAAGCAGAGAATTGAGGAGATGCCGTTCAACGGATCCGGTCTCTTCAATGCGAAGACGGATAGCAAATTAAAAAAGATCCACAAATCCAGAATGACGGTCCATCGTATGGAACTGCAATTCCAACCTCGCCGTAAGTGGTCATGGTCCCGTCTGCAATACCGCCAACAATACCAGCCTCAGCAACAACAACCACACCAACGCCAACAATGCCGCAGATAGTAACCATCCCAGCGCTTCCAGCAAGGCCGCCGCTGCTTTGACGGGGATAGACACCAGCGCTGATGGGGTGAGCGAGCCTTTCCTCTTCTCCCAACTTCACCCTCCCCTATCTCATTTGGGGACCGGCTGAAAAGTCAGATCCCCTCTTGGGAGTCCATTACATCTGACGGATGGGTGTTATCCATCATCCAGCACCGATATAGAATTGAATTCGACGTTGTTCCATCACCGAATCCTATCCGGTTTACACCGACCTTGTCGGTACTGTTGGACGAGATTCATCAACTCCTTGCTAAAGGAGCTGTTCGTCGCTTATCGTTATCGGAAGGACTCCACAGATTCTATTCCAGATATTTTACGGTCCTGAAACGAGATGGGGGTCTCCGACTCATATTGGACTTGAGAGCTCTCAATAGATTCATAACACCAAAGAAGTTTCGGGTGACCACGCTCCAAAATATCCTTCCATTGCTGGGGAGAGGGGATTGGTTTGTGTCGCTGGATTTGAAGGATACCTATTTTCATATTTCGATATGTCCACGTCATAGGCGCTTCCTTCGTTTTGCGGTAGCCTCTGAAATCTATGAATTCAAGGTGTTACCGTTTGGATTAGCCACTGCACCAAAGGTTTTTACGAGGTGTATGGCTCCTGTCTGCGGACACCTTCGACTACGTGCAATTCAGATATACCCGTATCTTGATGATTGGTTGTTGGTTTCCGAGACTAAAGAAGGACTTACTTCTGCTGTTGATACCACTTGTGGTCTATTACAAGACCTTGGACTCTGCATTAATCAACAGAAATCTTCTCTTCTCCCTACACGGACAATCAACTTTATCGGAGCCCGGCTGGATTCTACGGTGACAAGAGCCTTTCTTCCTCAAGACAGACAACATGCTATCGCTCAGCGCATCTCTCGGATTCGACGAGAAGGGACTGTTCCTGCCCGATCTATTCAAAGCCTGTTGGGGCACATGGCGGCATCCATCTCTGTGGTTCCGTATGCCAAACTCTGACTACATGCTCTTCAGTTATTCTTCAACGGGATATTCTGACCACAGAGGGATCTACCTACCAAATGGATTCGGCTCCTGTCCTCCATTCTACAGTCCCTATTATGGTGGACAGAACCAGCCAATTTAAATGTCGGCATCCCATTTCGACCTCGGTACCCTACAGTGACTCTCGGTACTGACGCGTCTCTTCTGGGATGGGGAGCCATTTGCTCCGACCTTCGCACCCAGGGGGTTTGGAGTCACCGGGATTCCAGGAACCACATCAACTTCCTGGAACGTCTTGCCATCTTCAAAGCCCTGCAGTCATTCGAGAATGTACTTCTTCACCAGGTTGTCCAGGTAACTTCGGACAAAATAGCTATGGTCTTTTATTTGAGCAAACAAGGGGCAACTCGGTCCCCGAAACTAGCCCGCCTGTCGATGCAAATTTGGGAGTGATGCATACCGAGAGGCATTACTCTTCTAGCAGTACATCTTGCAGGCATGGACAATGTAGAAGCAGATCTCTTGAGCAGACATATGTCGCGGTCACACGAATGGGAACTGGACCGTTGGATTCGCGACAGACTGTTTCACCTCTGGGGTCCCCCAGACATAGACCTGTTTGCCACCCTACAGGACAGGGTGTGTGTGAACTATTGCTCCAGAGCGGGAATAGGACAGGGGTCGTCTGGGGACGCTTTTATGATTCCCTGGAACGACATGACCTTTTACGCTTTCCCACTGATTCCCCTCATCATGAGAGTGCTGGCGAAGATTATTCATGAAGGGGGCCACAGGGTTACTGATAACCCCCTGGTGGCCGTGCCAGCCATGGTTCTCAACTCTCCTTCATATCTCTCAGGAGGATTTTCTTCAACTCCCTCTTCTTCCTTATCTAATTACTCAGAGGGAAGGCATGATCCAACACCCGGACCTGTTGTCACTGAAATTAACTGCCTGGCGAATCCGATAACCGTACGTGCTGCACCACCTGCAATCCCTACTACCTCTGCCTCACAAACCTTACATCCAGATCTGCAATATATTCTCGACTTTGCATTAAGACCTTCCACTAGAAAGTCGTATGCAGCGAAATGGCATAGATTCTCTAGCTTTGCCGAATCTCACTCGTTTCCAACGTCATCGGCATCGGTAGTGCAGATTCTTCAATGCCTTTTCGAATTGCACCAGTCTGGACTTAAACCTTCTTCCATAAAAGTATATACAGCAGCAATTTCTTACTACCGTGGAACTGTGCAAGGTTTCTCTATTTTTTCTCAACCTTCGATTAAAAGATTTTTGAAAGGACTTTGTAACCTCCATCCAACAATCAGACCACTGATGCCCACTTGGAGTCTCTCAGTAGTTTTACAGGCACTGACGTGACCCCCTTTCGAGCCTATGGCGACAACTGATCTATGTCTTGTCTCCTGGAAGACTGCTTTCCTCGTAGCAGTTACTTCAGCCTGTAGATCTTCTGAACTTTGTGCCCTTAGGGTAGACCCTCCTTTTCTGAATTTTCATAAGGAAAAGGTAGTTCCACGGCTAGACCCGTCCTTTCTTCCTAAGGTTGCTACTTCGTTCCACATGGATCAAGAGATCGTTTTACCGGCATTCTTTCCGGCTCCTTCGAATCCGATAGAGAGGTCCCTGCATATGCTGGATGTTCGTCGTTGCCTAGCTTTTTATAGGTCCAGGACTGAGTCTGTTCAACACTCTAACAGACTTTTTGTTAAATACTCAGAGCATAACCGGGGCTATCCGGTCACTTCCCAACTACTTTCTAAATGGATAGTAAATACAATTGCTCTGTCTTACCAGTTGGCTAAATTGGACTTACCATCTACTCCAAGAGGGCTGTTGCTGCTTCCTCAGCCTTTGCTTTGGGAGTCCCGATGGAAGACGTCTGCAGAGCTGCCACTTGGGCTACCCCGTGTACCTTTGCCAGACACTATAGACTAGATGTTTGTGCCAGACTAGATTGCTCTTTTGGCAGGGCTGTTCTTTCTTCTATTCTTTGTTGATGACACCTCCCTCCTCCAGTTCGGGTAAGCTTGTTATTCTACCCATATGTGTGATGCACAGAGGCTACGACGAAGAAGAGCAGGTTGCTTACCTGTAACTGATGTTCTTCGAGTGACCATCTGTGCAATCACACAACCCACCCACCGACCCCGCTTGGTGTCATGGGTGGTCCGACTTTCTTCTCTTCACTGCTAGGATCTCTTCAGCTATTTGTCGTACCACTGAAGTTTTTAGTTTTTTCCATACTGACAATAACTTTATTAAGGGAGCGAACGTCTGGTCTTTCAAAGACTGGAACATGGCGGATACGCCGCTCTTTATATAATACTAGGGGGGAGGGGGAGCGGAGTTTCCCGCCAAAACCATTAGCTGTTAATCTTCCGGCCAAAGGCACTGCGCAGGCGCAGAACCCATATGTGTGACTGCACAGATGGCCACTCGAAGAACATCAGTTACAGGTAAGCAACCTGCTCATTGGAAAAGAGACCAAAGAAAATAATGTATAACTGTCCAAAGTTTACTTCTATGTAATGTGATTCCTTGTTCTTTTTACTGTCTTTAGTTTTGCAAGATTCCTTTGATAAACAGAAGAAAATGCATTGATTGGAATTATTTGTAAAGCAGTGCATATAAACCCAGTCCCCAGGTGAAGAATGAGTTCCATTCCTGAAATAACCTTTAAGCCAATTTGTATGTAAATTCAATATAAAGCACTTAAGAAACACTTCCATGCACACCAAAACATCTTAAACACAATACAGTATTTTAATAATGATAATAATACAGGAATAATAAAGTAACTACAGGTAATGAAAAGAGAGAGAGAATCTGATTGTTGAACGATTAAAGCCTAATGCTTTCCCAGTGAGCGATGATCTCTTTATTATTTTCACTTTACTTTTGATTGTGATTTTCTTTTCTTTGATGTACTACCTGTACTTGCATTGGATTTACATTTTGGAGGCATGATTGCAGACAAAACACGGTATAAAGTTACAAAATGCAACACTAACTCCATGTGATTTGAAAGACAGTGGCTTGGGTACACTAGTTTTTCATGAACATGAAAAACTAATGTACTTCCACCACAGAACTAGTTCCAACTTTGCTGCATGCTGCTTTTTCCCACCCCCTTCCCTTCCCTTCCTTCCTTTCTGTTCTTCCTTCCTTCTTCCTTCTCCTTGCAACCCAGTACCCATGGGAGCTCACTCGCCACTTGAGGACATGGTGGAACTTTAGGGTTTGCTTGTTCATAAGTAGGGGCTGTACTTGACTCAGATGTTTGTAACTGGAGGACTGGGTATATATGCATTACTTTCTCAATTTCCTTATTTTCTACAGTGGATTAAATATGTGTTTATCTGGAAACAAATGTAGTGAAATTTATCTTTCGTGTTTTATCCATTGTGTGATTTCAGTCTCTCTCCCCCTCCTATCCCTCCTAGCTTCATGATGCTGATATGGTGGTAGTGGGCAGTACCAAACCTGAAGATATTCCAGTTACTTGGATGAAACCTGAAATGGTGATTGTGGATTGTTCACATGATATTTTATGGGGTGAGTTTTTTCAAGTCACACGGTATTTTTCAGGATGTGTTTATGCCTGCTTATCCTTTCTAATTGTAATCCTGTAGCAGTACTCATAAGCCCCTGAACTCAGGAGTTACAGCCATCCTGTGCTGACCAGATGGATGTGATCTTTGCCTCCTTGTCCTTCCAGCCTTTCATATTTAACCCCGAATGGCCTTTTTTTCACGTCAAGTGTTTTAGAGGGGGAGGTAATGAAGCTGGAGACACTTCTGCATAACTCGTATCCTGTTCCCTCGGGTCTCTTCCCCTTTGCCCCTTCTCCATGGGCACTTTCCAGACTCACAGAGACCAGCTGGCACAGTTCTTGCATTGTCTACTAGTGGGAGGGGAGTTGGAGCTTGAGCTCTGACTCTGACTTGGGATCACACACTCTGAAATATTCTGTGGTTCCCCCAGTGCTGCCCTGAAACCCCAGAATTTCCCCCTTAGTCATGTTATTCCCTCTTCCACCATTAATCCAGGTATGAATTTGTTGGAACAGAAAACCAGTGGAATCAGCAGCAAGTCACAAATTTGCAGGTCCAAATAGATTTTCCTACTTTTTACTCACCCTTTGGATCAATTTGTTGGGTAAAGGAGTGAACATATGGTGCAAGGCATACTGTGCCAAAGTGATATGATCCTGCCATTAGCACATGTGTAATGTTCACCTACAGATTGCAGGGTCAGAACATACAGGATTTTTAAAGGTTCTACAAGGTTTTAATAAGAGAAATCTGTTTTGCTTTCTGCCTGCACAATGTCCATGTGCTTCAATACATATGTTTTTGTAATAGCCTGTCTTTTGGAATAATTGGAAAGAATAGCAGAACCATTCTGCTTAGTTATTGTTGATGAATATATATTTATTGTTTTGTGGGGGGAAGTCTGTATATTAAACATGTGCATCTGTTTGAAACACATGCTTCTCATAGAAAGAATGCACTTTACTTAATTGCATGATATTTATTAATTGCCATTACATAATGAGAACCATAGTATCAAAAGCGCCACCAGGTACCTTTTCAATATTTTCAATATTGTATGTATATTAATTCCTTATTTATTTGTTGTTCCAAAAAAGCTGACTGGTGTTATCTCATGGCTTGAGAATGCCTTGCTTGCTTAACATCTGTGAGGTCACAGCAGTGAAAATGCTGGTTGGAGTCAACCACAGCTGCTGAACAGTGTGTCATTTCTTTTTGTTGGCTGCTGCTGTTTAACATCATGTGGGTTGTGCACCAGTATATTAATTCCTGGGATGAAAAGTGAGTGCTGTGAAGCATATGCAATTCTGATGATATAAAACCTTTTGGCACCTGTTACCAAACGGGGTAACTCATTCTCAACTTAAATTCAATTCCATATAGGTGGTCAGTGGAATCTTTTATGGGTCCACTCCAGAGTAAGTCCCATTGAGCTTAATGTAGCTTAGTCCTGGGTAAATTAGAATATAAAGGTAATGTTTATTGAAGTGTCATTTTCTTTTCTTTTTTTACTTAATTGTATTTCAGGTTCTTCAATGTTGACAGTTGCTCAGTTAGCTTCCTAGTGAAATATGGGAAATACAGTTGGCCCTCCACATTCAGGGGGGTTAGGGAAGGAGGATGCTCATAAAGTGGAAAAACCACAAATATCTCTATTTGTGCAACCTGAACTCTTCGTGCAACCATCCTGCAACCTGAACTCTTAATACTGTTGACCACACCTGTATGGGGTCGCATCTCTTTCTTTCCTCTTTCCCACCCCCTCTCTCTGTGTCTTAGCGTCCACTGGTGTAGCTGCAGCGACGGCATCAAAAATTTCCCTTTATTTTATCTTGATCTACTATATATACCAGCATATAAGACTACCACCGAATTTTGCTTTGCTATTTATGGTTTCTTATATGCTGATATATATGGTACTAATGTCTAGAACAAGTGACCCCGAAGTATGTTTCAGAAAAATTCCCATATATATTGGGTATTTTCTGAAAAAAATATATTGGGTATTTTCTGCAATATCTGCAGTTTTCTCCCCAAACTCCCCTCCAAAAATCCCATTTAAATTTTGATGGCAAACTTGTTAATAATCAAATCCACAAAAGTTAAACCCACGAAAGTTGCGGTTCAGCTGTATAAGCAGAAGGCCAAGTTCATACACTGAATTCTGAATGACCAGGAAGAATTCGATAGAAGTCACAGGTCAGCATTGTTTGTGTTGCAACAAACTGGTTCTCCTGTTTACCATAATTTGCTAGTCATTCTGTACAGCTGCTGTACTGATCACATCTTTTCATTCTTGTTTCTTCCCCTAATTAAGATGAATTTTGCTGGTCATCTTGAGGCTAAAGGTTATCTGTTGAGTTTGAATAGATTTAGAAGAATTCCCAGTTTTCAGTTCATTATAGTGATTCATGCTGTGATGGACTGTAGATCACTGAATTATAGAAAACTTTACCTTTCCACAAAGTGAGTTCCCAGAATTAAATGTAATGTCTGTATTAACTGATTCATACATACATCTACTTCGTAGATGGACGAAGGCTTCTACTTCAAATGAGACTATGAACATATGAATTATTATTGTTATTACACTGCATATATATCCTGGCTTTTTCTCTCTTGTGAGGGACCAAACTTGGCTTGCATATTTTTCCATTCCATTTTTTTTATCCTCACAACAACAGCCTTGTGAGGTAGGTTAGACTGAGAGTCTGTGACTAGTCCAAAGTCACTCAATGAGCTTCCTGGCTGAGTGGGGACTAGAACTCAGATCTCTCAGATCTCCAGTTTAGTACACTTACCATTGTGCCACTCTGACTGAATTAATGAAATTCTGCAGACAGAAGGGTGGTGTGACCCAGTGCCATTTGAAACTGAATGGCTTCCAGCAGACTTGATTCACACACTCCATTGCATGAATTCCCCAATCAAGCCACTTTGAGCAGCAAAGCAGCAGGTCTGATTACGCGTCAGAAGGGCAAACAAGTCTCCTTGCCTGCATTGCCTGAAAGAACTCTGAAAGCCAATCTCTGTGCTTATAAATGAGATAGAAAAGCCAAATTAAATAGACTGAAGAAACATCGTGGTTTGGAGAGCAGTAGAGAAAGGAATCTAATTTGGTCCCTGTTCTTTCATATTGCTCTGGCTGAGATCCCAGGATGAAGTTGTAGGCAATTTATGGCTGTGGTACACTTCTGTTTGAACTTCCAGTGAAGCACTCCGAGATCTAATCTAAATTGAAATTTTCCAGAAGACTAGTTTTGAAGGACAAAGTGTGAACACAAATAAAAGGCCTTTGAAATGTTTTTTCTAATTGTATGCTTAGTGTCAGAAATATGATCTTTTTAATGGCTTCATTATCTTTGCTACCAAATTTAAGAACTGGGTCCAGTAACATATAAGAGGCAGAACTAGCAGAATGAGGCGAAAGGTCCATCAGTAAACAAACATAAAAGGCCAAACACCATGCATTGCCATCACTGGGGTCTAGTTTTGAGCATCATAAGCCAAAGCCTGCCCTTACTGACTCCACATCTTACAGCAGGATTTACAGTTGACCGGGGGCAGCTGGTTAATGAACATGGGGCTTGTCATAAATACTCACTTTGAATGCTTTGGCTATAAACCTGCAAGCAAGTATGGTGTAGTGGACTGACGTTCAGGATATCTGGCTACTGGTTGAAATCAGTCCTGAAGTCACTGGGTGATTTTGCACCAATCTCTCACTTTTGCCCTTACCTATCCTCACAAGATTGTTGTGAAGATAACATGGAAAGCAGGATTTGGCCCAGTGCTCATCAACGTTTTTATCAATAACTTGGATAAGGAGGTGCAGGGGATGCTTATTAAATCTACAGATGATACGATGGGATAACTAATTCTCTGTAAGAAAGAAACAAAATTCAAAATGATCTTGATAGTTTGGAGCACTGGACTGAAAGCAACAGAATGAAATTTAACAGGGACAAATCCCAAGTCCAGTGCCTAGGAAGAAATAATCAGATGCATACTTACAAGATGGGGGATAACTGGCTCAACAATACTACAACTGAGAAGGATCTCAGAATTTTTGTGAGATCACAAGTTGAATATAATTCAACAGTGTGAGGCTGCCACAAAAAAGGCAATTTTGAACTGCATTAAAAGAAGTATCAAATGAAGTACTAGTTCCTCTTTACTCAGCACTGGTTAGACCTCATGTGGAGCACTGAGCCCAGCACTGGGTCCAGTTCTGGGCACCACAGTGGAAAAGGTTCAGAGGCAGTCAACAAAGATGATCAGGGGAATTGACCCAAGGCCCTATGAGGAACACCTGGAAGAACTGTGCATGTGTATTCTTGAGAAGAGAAAACTGTGGGAGATATGATAGCACACTTCAATTACTTGAAAGGGTGTCGCAGAGAGGAGGGCTGGGCTCTCCTCTCAATCATTCCAGAGTGCAGGACACAGAATCGCGAGCTCGAGTTACGGAAGAGTCACCTGGAAACACATCAGGAAACACTCTCTCATGGTCAGAGCAATGCAACAGTAGAAGCAATTACCTGGGCATGATTTTGGCTCTGCCACACTGGAGGCATTCCAGATACAGCTGCACAGACATCTGTCAGGGATGCTTTAACTTGCATTGAGCAGGAGGTTGGACCTGATGGCCTTACTGGCCCCTTCCAATGCTACTATACTGTGCTTCCATGTAAGCTGCCTTGGGTTCCTTGCAGGGGATATAAATGCAGTTAATAATGTAAACAAACAAATTTCAGACTGATGACAGCCAGCTTTCTCTTAGCATCAGGAACATACTTGTATCAGGAACATACTGGAGTAGGGAAGGAAAAGAATGAGTTTCCTGGAGTTTGCCTGACAACTACGTCATGCTCTTTCCAGCACCGGGTGCAAAATTCCTGTTTTTCTGTTTTCCCAGGAATTTCAGTGTCCATACTGTATTTTAAATCTCTGCATTGCTGATAGGTTTTACATTGACTTTTTCTTCTATTTTATATTGTAGTTAACTTGTATGGTATATTTTATATTGTATTTTATGGATTTAATTGTTGGGAATCTTTTAGAGATAAATAAAGAGATAAATAAAATCTTTTAGAGATAAATAAAAAGTGGAGCAGATCTGTATGTCATGACTAACTTTCTATCCAATGGTTCTACTCTAAGTAGGACTATAATTGGTATAGCTATTGAGAGATCTGATCCCAGATCTCTCTATATAACATATATTCTGTTCCTGACTACAGGAAATTCTCCTTAGCAAGTGCCCTGTTTCTCTAGTTCTGAAATATATTCAGAATGTGTATGGTATGCATGAAGCTTAACATCTATAAATCTCTTACAGTATGCACTTTGCCAGCATAGCTTGTTGTCACTGTTCACTGGATGAAAGAAATTTGGCAGTCAGTTAATGAGAAGTGTTCACTGCTTTGTGTTAATCCATTTATCTGTCTGCAGTTCCATCCCTGATAATGTGATTTTCCTATGCTTTTTTTAAAAGTATAATTGTTTAGTTGTCTGGATATTCCTTTTTGAGCAAGGGTTTGGCTGTCTATTCTTTCTATTATCTATAATAATAAAATAGTCTGTGCAAGAGTGCCAGAGTTTCAAGACCTTGAAATCCTAAATAAGCGGAGCTCAGCATTTATAATAAGAGAGCCCCTGGGATGTGCACATTACTTGTTTTTAAAAGCACACTGATGAATTTAAATCCCTTCAAATGGGTCTGTGTGGTTGAAGCCTACAGTATCGTCTTCCTTAACCACTGCCCCACTTTGCAGGCTTTGCAATCTGGAGCTGGTAGGGAGTGATCCAGGGGAAAAAGTTTGTTCGTTCATTCGTTCGTTCGTTCATTCGTTCATTTCATTCCATTTTTATACCACCCAATAGCTGAGGCTCTCTGGGTGGATCACAAAGGTTAAAAGGCATGCAAACGAACAGAGCAAAGTAGTCCTACAGCTGCTCCCTCTCCACTGGTGCAGAGCAGCCTTCCTTCAGCATCATGGCATAGACCGCTTCCTCTCCTGGAGAGTTTAGAGGTGCAGAATGGCAGGGTGCCAATGGCTATGGCTTCTCTCAGATGGGACGGGCTGTTCGGTTCTGACAACTGCTTTTGCGTGAAAGCACGGGCTCTTCTAGCCCATACAAAACCAGGTAGTAATTCATATTGCACATGCCCTTCGAAATTTAGCAGTCATTTTGATTATGGGCAAGCAATGTTCTCTCATCACCACTGCAGTCATCTTTCCAACTCATAAGTGTTTTTCTTTTTATAGGGCAGAATGGCTCAAGGGAACACCCTGTGAAAAGCAACCAACATAAGCTGGGTGAAACTATAGGTCAGCTCCCTTTGGCAATCTGCATGCAGGTTAGTAAAGCCATGCAAATCTTTGAAAATGGAAAGTAGAACAGAAAACAGTCCCGAACACAAACTCAGAATAAGAGGGTTTGCAGAGGATAACCCACAGTAAGCCTGATCTGTCAGGTGCATCATGTGTCCTTCCATGAACAACTCACAATGCATATTTTATTTACAGGATTGGTTGCAAAAGCATTAAAACTCACATAATACGTTGGACGGGATGCTAATAAAAGTATCCTGGTCTAAAATTATCTCTGGATTTGATGGTTCCAACTATAATTGCAGCACATGGACAATATACTGCAGTTTCTAACTTTTCTTTCCATCTGCAAAACCGATGGTGTAATTGCACTGGTAGTCTGTAACTTGAAAACTGGCAACGTATGCATGCACAACTCCAAGTTAATATTAATAACCATGAGGTAAGTGAAGCACAGCACAATACACAATGAACCCATGGAACACAACAGAACCAGAAAAATCCATGCCCTAATAGGTAAAACTTCCCTAAAACAAAATCCCTTCAGTACCCCAGAACTGATGCTAAGAGCAAGCAGTCTAGAAAACTGTGAATCAAAGAATATGGGCTTGACATCACATATTGCAACTGTTTTTGAATCCTTCTTTTCCTTCTTTCTTTAAGAACTTGGTGAAGATCAGTGAGCGATGGATACAAGCCCAAGAGTATAAGAGCTGGAATCTTCGTTGCTTAAAGCTACAGCCACTCTCACCTGTGCCCAGGTAGGAAGCATAAAGCATTGCTCTCAAAGAAGTATGTTAAGCCCAGATATGTCTGTCTCAGAAGTGCCTTGATTTGTTTTTTCAAGAATTTGCTGGTAGCATTTCTTATTAAACAGCGTGTGTGGTTTGTTTATTGTGTTAGCTCACAGCATTTTTTCCAGCCCTTCTTTACGTACAAGCTGCTTAGTGTGGCATACATGTTTCATCCTGCTGAGTTTGATAACCTAGTTCAGACATGGTTTCACAAGATGACTCCCATCAAATCATTGATGAGTTGTCCTTAGTGTGGCATTTTTGTGAATCTGTATGAGATGGGGCCATTAAAAGTGCTGACTAACTGATAGCAGCTTTCAGGATTGTTAAAGGAGCTGCAGCTTTTAGCATAAGCTTATCGCAGGAGAAATCTTAAGACAGGAACCCAGATCATTTCACCCAGACAAGATCATGAAAAGGAAATGCAAGCAGGCTCACTTGTTCAGCTGGGAAAATTTGGCTTACAATCCCATCATCCCTAGCAAGCATGCCATTAGTGATGGATGATGAATGCTGTAGGTGAAAATATTAATTTTGAATTACATTCACATGTTTTGTTAGAGTTTTCAGTTACAAATTACCAACACAGTTACACAATTAATGCAGTTACATAATTGGTTACCGAGACAGACAAAAGATGCAACATGGACATGTGCAGCAGATGTAAATGACACTCAAAATCTGGGAAAAATTGTAGATAGTGTAAATTTCATTAGCATTCCTCCTAGGCTATTATGTGAGTCCTTTCCTTTCCTTTCCTTTCCTGTCCTGTCCTGTCCTGTCCTGTCCTGTCCTGTCCTGTTCAACATTTAAATTGTGTGTTTGCATGACATGATAACCCATCCTGTGAATAAGCTGCGGTGCGTCCCCATGATGGGTTGTTCTCCTCATTCTTTCTCTATGTCTGGTGCTCCAAGTGGTTTCCTTCACAGCTGAACCTCCCTGTTCTGATCAGTTATGCCTTAATTTGCCTTTCATCCTGCTCCAAGCCCCCCCCCCCCCCGTGAAGCTGCCCCACTGCTGCCAAGGTGCACTTTGGAATCGTTGCCACTGGCTTGGAATCTTGTTGCTCCCATTTTTGGAGGGGGCAGTAGAAATGTGCACAACGGCAGCTGTAATTTCTTTTTCGGTCTTTCATAGGTGCACAGTTATGGCTGCCCAAAATGTGGAGCCTTGTCCTGGCTAAGTATCAGCTGTTTACGAGCAGTAGCTGTCATCCATGGCCACTGATCAAGTGAGGCTGCATGAAAGTTAACTTGGCACATATTTACAAATCCAATAAACCCATTTGCCAACTTTTCAAAGCAGAATGCACGATCATTTAAAAACATTTACATTAGGTAAACAAGTCTACTATGTTATGTAGTAGATTAAAATATGTGTAAATATTTTCCATACAGTAGGATTTCTGTTTGGCTGTTGAAATTTCACAACTCTGTTTAATCCATAAATGAAACATTAGTGGCCATATGGAATATATAAAGCATCATCATTCAATAATATTCAGTATTATAGTGAAACAAATGAGTCATTCATTGGGAAGTAATGAGAAAACAGCATATGAATTGAGATGATGAACATCTGTGTTAGGCTTTCTGGGTGTTAATTAGGGTTATTTTCAAAGATATTATAGTAACATCTGCATATGTTCATCCCCCAAAGACCCAGAAATACAATTCTCAAACTAGGTGCAAGATTTCCTTTGCATACATTCAAGCAAAGTATTTTAAAATATTTATTTATTATACTTCTTTCATGGGGGGCTTTCAGTGAAATTCTAAGAGGTTCATTCCATTTGGCTAGTCAACTCTGTAGCATCAGTTGCTCCCAGATGTTTCCCTATTGTTAAATACTCCCTGCTATGGCACACCGCTACCAACATCTAACTAGTTATTCCCATCTCGCTTATTTCACTTACCTTATGCAACACTTGTATAGTCCGCCACATTAAAATGGTCTCTTATAATCATTGGAAGTTTTGCAAAACTGTATGTACATATTGTCACCTGTCCAAAATGCAGGGAGATGTGAGGATGTGCAAGAAAGGATTTCCTCTGCTCCACCTAGTAGGTGCTTTGCACATGAAAGCTCTCCAAGTGCTTCTTATGTGATAGACTCATAACTTAGGCAAGGGAGTTCATTTACCCACCCAACAGAGAAGTCATTTTTTCTCGAGCAATATAATTTGAATATAATTTTCCAATTAATAAGTAATAGTCTTTCCCTTTTCACTTGCATTCATTTGCCAGTGATTGAACCTTAAGTGATTTTATTTAATTTGTTTGGGCCCCACCTTTCTGTGAAAAAATGGCACCCAGGTCTGTTAAATGATGTCCAAATCTTGTGTGCAGGTAAATATTTGACTAAGGTGTCAGTAGATTAAAGTTGCATTTGGGATGTTGCATTATTTAAACACATTGTTTTTTTTCCATGCTTTGATGGACCTCTGGTATCTATGAAAACTTTCCTGGCCATTCTGTTTTCATCTGACATATCTGTGAACGGGCATTTGCCTTACTCATAAGGGAAGTAATTGAGAATCCTCAAAGAACATGCTGTGTTTCCGTTATTCTTGAATGAACAAGCATAGATAACTTCTGGTAGCACTTGCTGTCTAAAACACTCGGGCCAAGACTGCAGGCTGTAGCTAGCCATGAATGCTTACTTCTACCTAGCTGTGTGTGTTTATATCCAGACATTTATGTTTATATCCACACACACTAGTTTTAAATATCCTTGGCAGTGCATTAAGCAGTTCTATCTTGTATGGTCTACACAAGTTTCTTTAAGACCACAACATAAATCCTCCTTAGGCATTCTGCATCGGAGTGCAATAAACACAGGAGGCGGGAGGACATTAGTTCTGCCCCCGCCTTGCAAGTTTCCATCATGGAGGGTGATTTTCTGCAGATTGTTCTGTCTGTGTGGACACTGCAGAACTTGCATGGGGAGAAGATCAACCTGTCTGCTCTCCTCTTGTCTATACTGTACTGAGATGCAGAAAGCCTAAATAGGGCTGACATTACAGGACCGAAGATGCCCCTGTGCTGTCTTTACCACTGTCCTGGTACCAGCCATGTTGCAAGCAAGCACAGTGAGTGCAGAGGACAGCTCTGATTGAGACCACAGCAGAAACAAAGGCTTAAGACCTTACAGAACATGAGTCCAAATGGGCTTGCATCCCACACATTAGCAATGTATGGTTTTAAGCATGCCAGGACCAAGAACACCACATTCTGGTTTTGCCAGGACAAATCAGAAAAGAAATGTGTTTGTGGCTTATCCTGTGTCGCTTGGACAGTCATCATTCTTCTGGTTTTGACATTCACAAAGCCCCAATACACAAACTGAGGAGAGTCACTGGAAGGTTCATGATTATGATTGCATACATTGCTTCTGAAATCCTGCTGCATACTGGTATGTGGCCTTTTCACATGAAAGATAGGCTAGCCAAAGCACATGCCGAGGACAGGCAGGATGAAAGTAATGCTGTAGTGGGGAAAGGCCTGGAATGATTTTACAGCTGAAAAACCTGTCTAGTAGTTCTTTGAAGCCTTTGTCCACCCGCCAGTATTTACATCTACAATATTCCAATGTGCTGTTTAAAGATTGCATTAATTCTTTGAAACTGATCTTTATATCCTTGCCAAGTACAATGTAAATGATGCATATTATTCTAGCCACTGTATACTCTGTATGAAGGTCTACATTTCATCGATACTGGATTCTTTTTGTTCTTCATCTTCTTCCTTTCTTTCTCTCTCTGCTTTCGTTTTGTATTTGTTTCATGCTTGTTCAAGTCATAGGCAAAGTTATACTGCCTCTTGAAGTTCACACTGTCACTTCCTGATTAAAGCTATAGTGTGTATCTAAAGTGTTTCACACAGTTGTGTGCATCTAAACACTTAGACTATATCAACCAGATGAGCTGTGTGTCTGATAAACAGGAAAACTTTGTACAGTGCTGGGGGACACACACACTTATACACACTTCAAAGTGATGGAGGTCTAATGAAGGTGGATGCTGCCCTATGGGTTCAGACAACACAAAAACCCATACTCAAGCCTTGAAATGTTGTTGAAGGGTTGTTGTTGAAATGTGGATTATTGTGCTCTCTGAAACCACTGGCGCTACCAACAACAAACCAAGAGAATTCATGGTTTGTTGTTGGGTTGTGAAATATGGCTAATGCATTTTGGTTTGCTGACTCAGCTGGGTTCAGAACACAGGACAATTAACCTTTCAACAGCAACCCATGGTTCAAAAACAGCTCACACTCCACCCTTCAGTGTGGATTATTATGTTGTCTGGACCCAGACAAAGAGTCAGACCACTGGTCCATCTAGCTCAGTCATATCTGCACTGACTGGCAGTAGCTCCCTCAGCTTTTAGACAGATCATTCCTAGTCCTAACTGGAGATGGACCTAGAAACCTAAGAACTTTTCTATGTAAAGCATGTGTCCCACCACAGAACTACATCACTTCCCTTAAAATAAGATGTTTACCCATCCCTACCTACACATAGCTGTAGTAGTTTCACTACCTTAATCAATTTTAACTGTTCTTTCACCGCGGTCCTAAAAACAGTACACTGGGAGAAATCCATACTGAGCTGAATCTATATACATAAGATCACACTGGAAGAAACAACTGTGATTTCTTTGCTCATTTCTACCCATGCTTTTGCCTTTTAAGCTGAAGTAGATCGCCTTCTCCAACTTTCCTCCCACAGCGATATTGAGATTTCCCGAGGGCAGAGCCCAAAAGCTGTTGATGTGCTTGCCAGAGAAATAGGATTGCTCACTGATGAAATTGAAATCTATGGCCAAAGCAAAGCCAAAGTACGTCTGTCACTGCTGGAAAGGTTGAAGGATCAGCCAAATGGAAAATACGTGTTGGTCGCTGGGTAAGAAATATTTTGTCTCAGTTTTTGCATTCATATATTCTTTTTATGTCATAGATTTTCTTTTCATATATATGTCAAAAACATTTTAATATATTCATCCTCATTACCTTTTTCTCCTTCCCTACTTTATTTATGTGAAAAGATTAAAATAACTAAGTCCACAATCTTATGCAGGTTTTGACAAAAAAAAGAGGCCTACAACTCCCAATGCTGCTGAAGTACACTGTGAATTGTAGGCCTTTTTCCTGTCTAAACATGTTTAACATTGTGCCTTGAAATGTTTAGTTTTATTATCTTGGTTGATGTGTGGCTTTGTTATATTTCTCCTGCTCATCTGATTGTTGGGTACAATCTTTTCAAATACGCCACCTTAAGGATTTGAGTACAATTTGTAGAAGTGATTCAGGAAATTGGGGCTGTTTGGAGCAGAGAAGGGCAGGCTGATGCTTTTCTCCAGGTCATGGTTGCCTCCAGCAGCTCTTTGAAATGCACGTGTGGAAGGCAGGAATGGCAAAACATACAACTGGTCCACCTCAACTCTTCTCCACTCCAGATTACCTGCTACCAACATAGCTGTTTCTTCTCTTTCTTTTTTGTAAAGGGAAGTGAGTCTTGCACGCATATGTATTTAGCATGTAGTTAATGCTCAAAAACAACACATTAGCCACAGTTGTTGTGAAAGAATAGCTCTTACAACCCATGATTTGGCTTATTTTTCCATTCTGACCATTCTGAAAATTAAGCCATTTCATGCAGATACCCATGGGCTTTAAGTAACAAAGTTTATTTCCTTTTTAAATGTCCTCAGTGACTGATACACCCTTTGCAGCTATATATCAGCACAGGGTTTATTTTAGCTTCAGTCACCCTGGGAATAGCAACAGATGTTCTGCAGCTCTGTTTTGAAAGTTAGCGCTGCACGCCAGGTTATGTACCTTCATGCGTTTTCCCTTCCTACATTTTAAGCCATGTATCATCCTGTCCTGCCTCACCTCTTTGAATTAGAAATGTTCTCTGTTAAGTGCTTTTATGTACTTCATATTTCACTGCATATCCATTTCCTAATTTGCTGATTTGCTACATGCATGATGCCTTTTGCAATAGTGAAGCTGGGAAAAACTGTTTTGTGTGTCATGCTTTGCAAGAGCCAGTGCAGTATGTCAGACTGGGAGATCCAAGCGGGTGACTCTTGTCCAGTCATGCACACTCAGACTAGCCCACCTTGCAAGGTTGTTGTGAGGTTTAAATGGACAAGGGGATTATGTGACTCAACTTGCAGGAACATGGCAGGATAAAAATACAATGAGTCCATGAATTTAAAAAATTACTGACAGATAAAAATAATTCCAAAGAATGAAGCTGAAAAGCCAGTTTGGTGTAGTGGTCAGGAGTGCTGGGCTGGAATTCAGGAGAACTGGGCTCTAATCCCCACTTTACCTTGAAGCACCTTGAGCTTGTGAGTATAGCATGGAAAGGATAACCTTGTAAGCCTCCTTAGGCTCCTGGCAAGAGGAAGAAAGGTGGGCATATATATAATATAATAATAATGACTCCTGGACTGCAAGGAGATCAAACCAGTCAGTCTTAGAGGAGATCAACCTTGACTGCTCTTTAGAAGACCAGATATTGAAGATGAAACTCAAATACCTAATGAGAAGGAAGGACTCCCTGGAGAAGAGCCTAATGCTGGGAACCATTGATGGCAAAAGAAGAAGGGGACAGCAGAGGATGAGGTGGCTGGATGGAGTCACTGAAGCAGTCGGCATGAGCTTAGGTGGACTCCGAGGGATGGTGGAGGACAGGAAGGCCTGGAGGAATGTTGTCCATGGGATCGCAATGGGTTGGATGTGACTTCAAGACTAACAACAAATAATAATGATAGGTTGTTTTGACAAAACACAGGTATACTTCAATACTTCCACTGATGTAAGTGGGAGAGCGTTAGGTATGTAGTACCTCTTCTGTTAAAATGACTGGGTTTGAAATGGCTGCTCTGCTATATGAAGCTAGATCAGAGCATAAACCAGTAGGACAGAGGTGGGCAGCCCAGTGCCCTCCAGATGTTTTGTTTTATACCTCTTATGGTCCCTGAACACTAGCCATGTTGGAGAGGGCTCATGGGAGTTCCAGTCCAAAACATCTGGCGGGCACCAGGTGATACAAAAGGCCAAACAGCTGTTCTCAGAGAGAAGTATTTGTATTCTAAGTACTGGTTCCTGATACCTCAACCACATTAAGGGAGAGTGACTACTGGATATCAATAACCTGGTTTGCACTGTTTTAATGATGCTGGGGGATAGAGATAAACATCTGTATAAATATTTGTCCAGAGAATATATTCTTACAGGCTTTACTGTTTTAGAAAAGCTATTTTAGGACACTTGAATGTATGACTTGCAGAAGAATAGCTGCCAAGGGCTAAATTTAGCTCACTTGTCCATTTTTAGAAAACTCTTTGTGAATAAAGCTGTATTTGATCCAGAGGAAAATGAAGGGGAATTCAATTTAATACCACAGTTTTATGTATGTTTAGGATACTCATTATCATATTTCATGCGGTCCTTGAACCATCTCAGTAGACTCAGGTGCACCTATCTATGCTATAATTATTGCATTCATTGTCAATCTCCATCTCATTGTATTTCCTGGCAAATAAGCAAACATCCATATCATTGGAAAGTAAGTTTGTTTGTTGTTGCCTAATTACAATCAGTTACAGTAGACAGCATGTGTTTTTTCCACACAGGGTAAACAGAGACTGTAGGTTTTGCAACATGTCATTTTGGCAGAAGACTAAGAATTCTTAACACTGCTGAAATGCAAAATTTAGCTGGTTTGCAAGCTTGTTTGTAATCTTTAAATATAACACTCTTGACTTTGTTCCAACAAACTTAATATTTTCATAATTTAAACTGAAATCTTCTACAAATTCATTTATATTTTCTGCCCTGTAGTTGGCATGGCAAAGCAGTCCAATTCCACTATCTTTCTATGTACTCCTTTGTTCGTTGCTGTGCCCCTTAAGTTTCCCAAGGAAATAGAAATGTCCTTTTTTGCAATGCATGCAGAATGGTTTTAATTTGACCCTGGGCAGAGCAATGCAGTGCCCCTAAACAACATCTAGGATGTCATAGGATTCTGCAGATCACTTCCATGCCACTAGCAGAACAACAAGCTTAAAGGAGGAGATCCCGTCATGGATCTTTGCTCCCCCACCCCTTTCTTCCTCCCAGCCACTGCAGAAAGGTTCTCCTTGAGGTCACAGCTTTAAGAGAAGTTGAAGAGGGGGCATGCTGGTGAGCAGGGGCCGGGAAGGAGAGGCTGGATCCACAGTATCCTGTGGCCTTTCCAGACTTCTCTTCACCCACCAAAAGGTAAGCTGTTTGTCTGTTAAATGGAGAAGCAGAGGGAAGATTCTTTCTGGCAGGTCTGGGATGGGCACTTTGACTGAGCCCACTGTTTGTGAGGAGTGGGACCCCACCAATTGCACTCCCAGTTACTCAGGTCCAGATCGCCTCTAGTCTTGACTCCTGATAACGTCGCCTTGTTCAGATCTAGAACAACCAGAGAAGGCCGTTGAGCAGCCCTCCTTGATTGTGCTTCGGCACTTTATGCCTTTGACCATTTCTGCTGTACTGCTTTGACAACGGAAATCGCGGAGAGGAGGCATGGCATGTTTCATAGCAACTGCAGGGAAAACTTTTTTCCAGTTTTTAAAAATGATGATAATCTGTAAAACTAGTATCTTAGGCTGCCTCTTTCACCAGAAATTGATGTAGCATACAAAGGACAGCTGGACTTTTCGCATAGTTCCTATAGATGAGGGAAAGATGTTTCTAATTAGAGCTGGATTTCTAGCTAGAGTCTTCAGGAGGTCATGCTATAGGAGTTACCCCTTTTGGCTAGCATATGCATGAATCTTTGTATATCCCTGGGAATGAAAATGTAATCCTTAATGTCACATACCTTAAATAAACCACTTATTTCACTGCAAGCACTAAAGAATCACAGATTTCTACAGTGAAGTGTAGCATATCTTGGCAAGGGTTTTTCTTAGAAATTGAGTGGGAGTGATGTGAATGAAAACTTAGTGTTGTTTTTGTTTTGTTCTTAACTTTGAATTTTCTGTGGCTGATAAAAGAGATGCCCCAAATGAATTGTTTGAATGCTTTTGAACTCTTTCTAGAGACATGCATAAATCATTCATCATAATTTAACTCTAGGGGTATGTACATTGTTGTTGCTCTGAAGACAGAAGAGAAATTAACCTTGTGATATGGTGAAAGACAGGATGCAACTTAATATATAATGTACAGTTTTGCAAAGAATACTGGTCTCTTACATTTCAGTGCAACTGCCTTTTATATTTTATACAAGTGTTGAAGAGAAGAGCGTGTGCTGAGCTTAGGGAGAGCAGAAGCTATTTGATTTAAGCTGTTTGGGATGCGACTGGTACAGTACTTGTGGGATAGTAATGCGAGAGCAGTGAGGAAAATTGAATCAGTTCTGTGTGAATGATTCTGTTCCATTCCATTTTATAAGTAGTCTGAGGCCTAAGGTGTACTGCTTAGGTGGGGCTGGGGGGCATACTCATGGCCCCATAATGCTTCTGAGCACATGTGAGTGATCCAGTTCACCCAATCAAAACAAGTTGCTGAGGCTTAAATAAGCAGCAGCAGGTTGTTGAAACGGTTGCTCAGACGGGTCATGAGTTACCTGATGCTGCTTCCCCCTGAAGCAAGCCACGCTGCACCCCACCTCAGGCAGCAGCTCCAACTGCAGAAAAGCAGATCCATTGAAACGTGATTAAGAATTGGATTGTTAAACTGTTAAAAACAGATCCATGAATGAAATAGCCAGCAACTTAATAACCCCTCCTGCCCCCAGCAGCAAAATACCAACTTGCATGCCTGCTTGAATTAAAATGTATTTGGCTTGTGGCCCAAAGGCCACAGAGGAACCAAAGCAGCCTCCCTCAGCGGGAGATTCAGGCTCTCTCTTACGTCTCTGCCAAACTTGCTTTTGATGTGGACAGGCTAAGTGAAAGAAGAGCCTCCAGCAAAGGCTGAAATCCCTGATCAGACTTATTTGGCAAAATGTGGTCTTTTTCCTAGTATCAGGCCATAAATAAGTATTCTTAATTTCTTTCTGTGCCCCTTTAACAGTGTCCTTAGGTATAAGAAGGTGCAAAGTTACCGTTGTCATTCTGTTATGATAGATATCAGCTGCTTATTGCCTTGAAGGCTTCACGGGCCTTGATTTAATGTTTCAGCCTTGATTGACCGATTGATGATGTCTGCTAGAGACATCATCAATAGTATCTGTTCAGAAATGGAGCTGCCAGAAAAACCAAGTTGCCATCAGCTTCCAGTTGTAAGTGTTTAAGGTATCCATGTCCCACGGCAGTGGTGCTGCTATTGCTACAGATGCAAGTTGTAAGGATGTATGGGTAATGTCTTGCAAAGTTTGAGCCAGAATACCTTTTAAAGGGTGCAGTTTTCATACCAAGAGACATGCTATACTTGTTATACAAAAGTAAGTTTTCCTATGCTTGCCCAGAGCAGTTAGGGAATAATGATTTCCAGGTTATACTAGATAAGACTATTTAGTATATATCCTCTAGGTATTAGAAAATGAGTTTTCAAGAAAGTTGGAAAGGGTTTCATCTTAAACGTAAATCAATACTAAATTCAGCACATGTTCCAAGTCTTCAGAACAGCTGCCAAGAGCAATTCATGTTTCCCCCTTTTCTTAGGTCTGTTGCTTAGACAGAAGTATTGAGAATGTGGGTGTAAGTACAGTACATGAGGTGATGGCATCACCTTTTTTGTAATAACACCATTTTGTTTAGATGAACTGAACTTTTAATTTTTCTATGGATAGAATCCATAGCTTTCCTATACTTAGCTATATATATATAAAAACTCCCAAGCCTGTTGAAGCAATACAGTATATTTTTCTTATATTTTTAGGATTACACCAACACCTCTTGGGGAAGGGAAGAGCACAGTGACCATTGGTTTGGTTCAAGCTCTCACAGCCCACCTTAAAGTGAATTCCTTTGCTTGCCTGAGACAGCCTTCTCAAGGGCCTACCTTTGGTGTTAAAGGTACACTTTACATTGTAAGACCACGTCACTAGCTGTTTGAGGGCTGTTTGAGAGCCAATGTGGCACAGTGGTTAAAGTGCTGGACTGGGACTTGGAAGAACTGGATTCTAGTCCCCACCTTGCAAGAAGCTCTCTGACTCCCAGCCTAACCTATGTTGTTGTTGTTGTTGTTAAGAAAAAATGGGAAGGAGAACTTTGTACACCACCCTAGGTTCCTTGCAAGGCAGGGTAGAAATGTAATGCTGTAATAATGATATAAAAATAAAATATAAAAATGCTATAATAATGATGATGATAAAAATCTAAGAAGCCAGTGGCCCCCAACTGAATCGAAGAGATAATTCTTCATCTAAAGGATGCCTTTTTCCTCCAGCTTTAAACCTGGAAGTCGGCTTGAATTGATCACACTGGCAGGTTCATTTCTTTTAAACAGTTACAGCAGCAGTTACAGCTGCAGAGGTACAGCCAGATGCGGCATTTACAGTGCTGTCATCCTGCTTCATTCGCAGAACTTTATGTATGTGTCTGTCCAGCTGTCACCACCTTCCACTCACAACCTTCCCAAGTTTTCCCACCTCTGCTTGCATCTTCTTTCTGCCACAGACAGCCCATTAAGGAGACACATACAGGATTGTTGCCCGGTGTTTTCCGACTGGTAGTGCTAGGAGGCCTCTGGTAGGAAGTGCCCTTTGTGTGCTTCTTGAACTGCAGACAATTCTTGGCTTCTGGATGATTCGCCATGGTTTTGATTTGCGGGTTGCTGCTGACCTGGTTTATTCAAGCCTCTCTTCAGAATTTTGGGTTAACTTAACATGAGCCTCTGCTTTGTTGTGCAGGTGGAGCAGCAGGCGGTGGATATGCTCAAGTCATACCAATGGAAGAGGTAAACAAATATTTGCCTTGCAAAAACTGGATTTAGCCCCATCTCTGCTGAGACAGAGTAAATCTGGGGTACAGCACACATGTCTCTGAAAGCTGTTGAAGCAGCTTCACAATCCTTTGCATGTTTAGACAGAAAAAGAGTCCTACCAGCTCCCAGCATGCCCCAGCTGTGCTGGAGTGGAGGTCTTTTTTCTGCTTAAACATGCAGGTGATTGTGCTTGAAGTTATTATATCAAGGCTGGCCTGTGTGGTTTTACTGCCAGGATACCCCCCCTCCATAGAAAACCTGGTGTGAGGGCAGTAGGCTAGCTTCGAGGGAGCAGGGCAGATTGAGTGGGGGATGCAGCTGTGCCCCTCAGTAGAGGGAATACACAGCCAAAGGGTTTCAGGAGGAATGGCCAAGGGAACCGCCGTTCCTCCGCTCTCTCACTCTTCTGCCTTTGGCAGTCACCTTGCTGCACCTAATAGCAGGGCCAGCTCAAAATTATATGAATTTTCCCATAGTTTTTGAGGTGGTTTGAAACCATTTTGCTTAATAGCATTAAGTAAATGGACTAGAACATGGGTCCTCCAACTACGGCACGGGGGCCAGATCCAGCCCACCATGGCCATTTATCCGGCCCACCTCAGAGGTTTTCAACGCGCTGCCTGCCTCGCCCCCTGCGCGGGGAGGTGGCAGCTTGCTCGCGAGGAGATCGTTTTGGACTCGCTCGGAGAAAACGATCTCCAAGCAAGCCAACCGCTGCATTGCGCGCCCACCGCTGCATTGCGGCGCGAACCCACCCCCGCCTTGCCTCGCCTCCCGTCACTGCATGCGCCTGTGCACCCACCTCAGCCCGCGCACTCCTGCGTGCTCTGCCCCCCCTCCCGCTGGCCAGCGCGCCCCGCCGGCACCACCTTTCCGGCCCGTGCCCAGCACCGGCACCTTTCAACTGGCCCCCTGGTGAAAAAGTTTGAGGACTCCTGGAGTAGAATCATGAAATCAAAAGTAGAGCCCTGATAGCTGTCCAACATTGTGTTTCTAACATACAAGAGTCTGGGCTGATTCACACAAATTTACATTGTTTTTGTCTCTCAGTATAAATAAAAAACATCCTTCATAACAATTTTTAGAGCGTTCTAAATTATAAAATTATTGCAGATTGGGAAAAATACTTCTTTTTCAGCTTTCCTAATGCTTGGATCCTGTGGCCTACATGCTACCAGTCTCACTGAACTAAGGCCATCTACCTTGCATTAAATCTCTTCAAACACAATGATGATGATTTAATAATACATCCACAACATTTTTTAGAGTTGTTCATTTGAACTGTTAATCCCACAAGTGAAGGTTCTTGGATGGGTTTCACCAATTGGTAGTAGTTTAATGAAGTGTGCAAAATGAACATCTTTCTCATTTTTTGTTCATCTGCAGTTCAACCTTCACTTAACTGGAGACATTCATGCCATTACTGCAGCGAATAATTTGCTGGCCGCAGCAATAGATGCTAGGATTTTGCATGAAAACACTCAGTCGGATAAAGTAAGAGCAACCTTTCATCATTCCTACCATTAATTTTCTGCAAGCATTGCTGTGAATGTTGGTTTTGCACTGTAGTAGTTAAAAGCATTTCAATTATTTAATCATCAACCATCTCATAGTTGTATATATATTCTGATGTAAGACTTTAATTTTATACAAGTGCTAATGCATTAACAAAGTTTATATAATTAAATGACAATTCCAAATATTTTAACTGGATTCAGACAAAACAATAATGCAGTACTCAAGAGTTGAGTGTAGATTGTTGAATCATGGGTCGTTGTTAAAATGTAGGTTATTGTGTTGTCTGAACGCAATTGCACTAAGAAGCCACCTCTTATTATCCATGAACAATCCATGGTTGGTTGTTGGGTTGTGAACTGCAATTGTTCATTACAGTTTGTTATCACAGCTGAGTTCAGACAAGACAGTAAACCACATGTCAACAGCAAGCCATGGTTTAGTGACTAGCTACACTCAACCTGTACCCACATCTTTAGTGTAGATTATTGCCTTGTTTGTCAGACTCTAGAACTCCTGAGCTAAAGAGCTTAACTGACTGCACAGACCTCCCTGGAGGCACCTTCCTCATGGAATCTGAGTTACTGTCTCTGATATTCAAGAACAACAGGAATGACTCCGTGTGGTGCTCCCTCAGGGATTCCTGCTATTTTCTCCAAACTGAGTGGAGATGCTGGTCCAGTGGCTTTGTACCATGCCTCTTCTGGTACCCCCATGGGACATCAGGTGCTGTTGGAAGCCAGAGACTCAGCTGGCGCTGGGCATAGTGGCTACCCCTGCTGCTCTCTATCCAGGAGAATTCAATATAAAGAAAGGCTAAAATGCATGATGGAAGATTTCAGCAGGCATGGCCATAGCCACTGAAGTCATCCAGCTGAGAGAGGAAGGGTGCAGCAGGGTGGGGAATATGTCATTCTCCACCTCTGCTCCAGTTTTTGTTACATACATCAATTCATCCTTGACTTAATGGCAGCCTTGTGAATGAAAGCCCCTGAAATGTCCTGTTTTTGACAGCCCTGCTAAGCTTTTGTAAACTCAATGCTGTGGCTTCCTTTATGGAACTGATGCATCTCAAATATGATCTTTCCTTCTTTAGTCTGCCTTCAACTTTCCCTAGCATTATTGTGTTCTCCCCTGAACCATGCCTTGTCATACGTGTCTGAACTCCCAAGAAATATAGCATCGTATCTCCTGGGTAACTAGAGGGTTGATTCTCAGTACTGGGCTACAGAGATTAGCAAGGGCAAGGAGAAGATTCAGACTCTTCTCAAAGTATATCCCTATACTGTATTTTCTTCTTCAACGTTGAATGGTTAGCACTCATTCCAGGAGGAAAAAGTGAAATCCTGCATTTGAGGACACAGTTCCGGTGAAGGCAACTTGTAATGTCTACCCCTTCCACTGGGGCTCCATCCACACTGATAAGCAGGCATGGTGAACATGTAGCCCTCCAGATGTTGTGGATCACCCATCCTCACACTGCTTCTGCTGGCTAGGGCTTCCGGGAGTTGCCATTGCATGGCAAGTCATAACAATAGTTTATTTTGTATCAACAGATTTCCAATCAATAGTAAGAATGTCTGAAGGGGCCATAATGAATAGAGAGAGATTTGGAAGGCTGTTGAAGCATGCATACAAAGCCTGTGCATAGCTTATTAGCAAAACCAGTTTTTCATTTTGTAAAAACACTCTACAGTCATTCATAGGGGCTAGTACTTTTCCTAATGATTTTTGCTGTATGTTCTTTTCAGGCATTATATAATAGATTGGTTCCATTAGTTCATGGAGAGAGGAAATTTTCAGCTATACAGCTTTCACGCTTGAAAGTAAGTTGCTTTTTAAATGTTCAGTAATAAGTCATGCATGCTTTTAGAAATCATCATTTTTTAAAATGAATTTCATCTGGATCAGGTTTTAATAAGGATTGTTTATTTTTAAACGGGTGAGAACAGACAGTGCTCAAACAAGGATAGGCTGAAATAAACCCACTGTGTGCCCTCGGTCACATGGCAGTTTCTAAACTCAAACAGAAATGTGCAGCATCAAAAGAAAATAGCCTACAAATATTCCTAACTCATCACATTTTCAACAAGCACAATTTCCACAGGTTATAGAAAGTGTAGTGCATTGAAGCTACAGTACGGCCCCCCTTGAACAAATAGGACCTGAGTAAACATGCGCCAGGTTGCACTAGCAGAAGCGCTTGAATTTATACTCCTTTGAACAAACTTGCAGGTTCTTCCCCATGAGGAGTCCAAGCAACTGCGTAAGGATGAGGAAAACCGGTTGCTTGGAGATTGCCCCACATTTCTTCCACTCTGTCAGGTCAGAAAGACTCAGAGCAGTGCTATACTTTGGACTTGTTTGAGGATCTGAAGAAGTCTGAATAAACACCACTTGGGCACAGCATAATTTTCCTTGGCTTGGAGGAGACAACCCAGATAACCTGTTTGAATTTTGGACTAACCAGTTGTTTTGTAGAAAGTAAAACAGGACAAGTATAGTTTCCACATTTAATTCCAGTATTAAGTAGTTTTTAGACTATCTGCATAGGTTAAGCTACCAGAAAATGTTTTGCTGTGTTTTTATTTATTCATTTAAAACATTTCTATAATGTACCAAATTAGCCTAACGTTTTTCAGGATGGTTTACAATTTAAAAACAAGAACAAACAGAATAACAATAACATATAAAATAAACAAATCAGTAGTCATTAAAACCAAATAATCCACAGTGCCTTCATAAAATAATAATAAAATTCAACAATTAAAATAGCTGGAGAATAAAAAGGTCTTAGCCTGGCGTCTAAAGGCAAAAAAGGTTGGTTTCAGGCACACCTCTTTGGAGAGCTAATTCCATAATTAGGGTACCTTGTGGTTACCTCTCTTTTATCCTTCAGAGGGAGCTCCTAGAGAAGGACCTCCAACAATGATCTCAGGGTCTGGTCAGGGGTATATGGGAGGAGAGGTTCCATCAGATACTAGATCCTAAACTGTTTTTCATGTTATGTCAGTTGTCTAGGGAGAAAGAATTTATTGCTGGTTATGAAGTTCTGAATCATCATTTACTGGTGATACTTTGCCTAATTTCTTCCTATTGATGCATATTTGTGTTTGTTTCTTTAAACTGTATTTGCAAGCCTTACGGGGAGCTATTGCTAAAGCTGGCAATGGAGCAATCTCCATTTGCTACCTGAAGAAGTTCAGTTGTCCAGGGAGTGGGACAAGCAAAGCATGCTGGGGAACCTAATGTTGCATCCTAGGCACTCTCAGGAGCAGGCATGGACCATAATTCTGCTAGGTATCTACTTGTGTTAACTGAAAGGAGCCAAGCTATGCTTGCATCCTTCAGCCAACACAATCTTTTGCTGTTGAAAGAGCAACAGATATGAAAAAATGGTGCCCTTTGGCTATTTTTACTCACAGCTTGCTTCTTTACCTTCATGGCATACATTCCATTAACTACTGCTGAAAGGATCATGAAGGAAAGGAGCAACTTGGTCAGAAAGCCAAGGGTTCTTTCTTCTTGGGATCATCTTGGTGGTGAAAGGCCAGCTCCTACTTGCTCTCATTTAGAGTCTAAAACAAGACTAGATACAAGAAACCTGTGAGTGGAGAGCAGAACTGAGAGCGACCCTGTGGCTGCTCGAAAGCAGCTGTTTGCATAAAAGTGAGGATCACTAGGCAGTTGGGTCCAGGATCCCCTGACCATAACTAAGCAGACTTTCCTCCTGCCTCAGTCTTCTGCATACAGTTCATTTATAAAATACTGCACAGCATCTTATTTTGCTGAGTAGAAAAGTTGCCTGAACTTAGGTGAAGAGAAGTGCTTTAGATAGACCAAATCCTCACCTGTTATTTTACAGAGAAACATGACTCTGATTTGCATGTGTTAACTAGTTGCTAGACCTTGTAGTTTGCCTTACAAACATATGACACTTTTGCTGTATATAGTTTGATTCTAGCTTTGTTCCCAAGGCTTATTAATGGATTGATATTTTAAAACAGTCAAAACCACTAAAAACTAAGTCATCTGGCAGACAAACCTGTTCCTTTAGCACCAATGTTTACTTTAAAAAATTAAGTCAGGTGAATGCCATTTGACCTTTGCTGAGATGGTGTGCAGAAAGCCTGCAGCATGTGCAAACAGAAAGTAGTCCCTGTTACTTTAGCTTGGGACAACCACAGGCTGTGAGGGATTTTATAGCTGAGCTGGATGTGTGTAGCTTTCCATGCAAGAATCCTCATTTATCCCTTGTTTTTTTCCAGAGGCTGGGGATAACCAAAGAGGATCCTGACGCATTAACGGCAGATGAAATTAACAGATTTGTGCGACTTGACATAGATCCATCTACAATAACATGGCAGAGAGGTAACTCTTGTGAGAACAAAATGAGGCTGCTGGATCCAGCCTGCCGCTTCCTAAATGGGCAAGCAGATACCCATGCAAAGGCCACAACTAGGGCATAAATAATAGCTAATTGTGTATTACTTAAATAATAAAGAACCCCATTGCAGTGTTTTTGTCTGGAGCAGGTTTGAGGCATGCAGAGAAGGCTGCAGTGGGGAGGCAGGGACAAGAAAGTCTTACTGCACCAGTTGAAGACATGGCATACTAGCAGATGTCCACTTGCTTGTTCACATGAAGTGAGATCCAATCCAGTGAGCACATAACACAAATTAAATTCTTCTAGATAGAGGTTCAGCCTGCTTTAAAGGATCTGTCCAGGTTTGGACATTTTCACATAAACACAGCAGACTTCATTCCCATTTTAAGAGCCAGCTCTGATGTATACTAAAGGTTTAAGGAATTATTTTCTAAATAATGGAAAATACGCATGGATGCATCTACATGGGCATGAGTGGCACAGTGATTGGAATTCAAGTCCAGGTAGTTTGCCATTTTGATATGTCCATGCATCTTACACTTTCTGCGTAAAGGTTTTCATGCATTTCCACCCACCATAATTTGGAAATCAGATTGCTGAACAACTCTTAATTCCCTGATTTCAAATGCTGGCCACCATTCCACCCCAGTGAACACTTCTTACACACAAAGTCACTTGAACCCTAGCAGCCGTGACTGGGTTGTCATGTCGTATGAACCTGGGAAAGCAATTTCATCATGGATTGCCAGAACTGACTACAGAACCTCTTAGTAACAGTGGCAAAACGCACTGCCGCTCCTCATTATCTCATGCTTGCAACTTCCAGCCTTTCTCATCAGCAACTGCCCCTCCAACGATGCCCAAATGGCACTTCAGAGGGACTTGGTTGCTTTGTGGGATGTGCAGGGAATCTGGTTGGCAGGTGGGAATCTGATAGATTTCCTCAGCTCGGCTCCCTGGACTCCGATTCATTTTCTCCCTTCTTTAAGTCTGTCTCACAGCAAGCGTTGTGGGGGCGTATGGGAGAAAGTGAGTTCAAACAGAATTCTGCTTCTACACACATAACTTGTGGGCTTTGCATCCTTTTACAAAGAATTATGTAATTTGTGTATTTTGCACAAGAATTACATATTTTGCATATCTTGCCTTGTCTAGGATGGCTTTTAGTTCATGGCAGAGATTTTTTACAAAAAACTGATTATGTTAATTGATCGAAGGAAAAATGTATTTTGTACTGAAATGCATTCTGTTCTTCCCTATATTTGGAATGAGGCCTGGGAGCTAAACAAGTTGCAGTGTTGTGCATATTGGTCATCTGGGATACATGGAGAGTTCCCAGCAATACAAGTACAATCATGATTTTCCTATGTGCTGTTCTCCTTTCTTTTGTGGAAGATAGGAACAGAATTGCCCCATATATAAAAATATTAAGTTTGCCTTGTTTAAAGCTGCATTGCTCGGGGCCTGGGTTGCATGTGCCTTCTGTAAAAGCCCATACAAAGGTTGTAAAAATGGCTGGTCCATAGATAGAGGCTCCACCCTTCTTCTTTGCTGTATGTTTTTGTGCATGGCATAGAATTTAGGAAAGGAAGAGCAACCATAAACCTTGGCTCTCTAGTAAACCGAGTCACAGTCTGTGGCTTGAATACCTTGTGATAACTCCACCTGTGAAATGGCTCATGAAAATGCAAATAAAAAACAAAGCATTATTTCTCCAATAACACTGAAAAGTAGGAACAAATGCTCTACTTCCAGTAGTCCTGATGTAAAATGAACAGCCCAGTTTGAGATAATCAAGGAAGTATGTGCCCACTAATGAAGATTGAAGTTAAAAATATATAGTGATAGTCTCATTGCATATGAATTTTGTAACTAGCAATGTGTTTTTGACATTTGGCGTTAGACTCAGATGTTGTATAATGTCTTGTGAAAGAAGGTTTCTTTCCTTAGGTTTCTGCATTTTAAATGGCAGTGGAATTCCAGATGCATCTTTTCACCCAGATAAGAAGTTTCACCCAGAGTGAAATTTAAGCACTCTGCATTTTTCCTTTCATGTTCTTATGGCAAGTCTATAGTTGTTTAAATTCCTTGGATTAAGAACATTCCCAGCATTCCTCATATCTAACTATGATGCCTAATCTGGATTATTCTGCTGATACTGTCTGAAAAAGAAGATTCAAATGAAGCAGATGTTTACATCCAAGATATTTTAATTTTATTGTCCTTAAGTGAATGTTAAGGCTCAGAATTATACTGCCCCCATTAGAGGACAAAATATTATATAAGACTTTTCAGAGTGGAGCTTTGGTGCAATAGAGATCTGGTCTTGCATCCATTTTAGAGTGCAGTCCAGCTGGCTGGGCCATGCTGTAAGTTGTAGAGGGAGTTTTGTAAACACAAAACCGTCATATTTCGCCTGTGCCAGGGAAAAAAAGATAGTCAGGACATCATCGTTGTTCTAAGCCCTGCCTGAGTTGGCAGCAAACCTGAACGGTCAGGACGCATCTGTTGCATATACTTCCAGGGTATGAAGTTGTTAGCAGGGTGAGATATAGGGATGGTTCCTATTGAGTTTAAACATAAGGGTAGAACTTTTAATGCTTGTTCTGGTAAGTGTTTCTTTTTTTCCTTTTCAGTGGTAGACACAAATGATAGATTCCTTAGGAAAATTACAATTGGGCAAGCAAATACAGAGAAGGGATTTTCTCGCCAGGTAGGCAAATGTGTGTGTTTGGAAAAGAAACATCCTTTAGCTATTAAACATCCTTGCTTTCTACTATCCCACTATATTGTTGAAAATTTATTGCTTTTCAGTTATGAACAGATTGGCAGTGTATCTTGTTTGGTGCATGATAAATCAGTCTTCCCCAGCAGGTGCCCACCAAATGTGTTAGGCTATAACTGGGGGATGATGGGAGATGTAGTCTAACAAATCTGGAGGGCACCTGGTGAAGAAAATAATGCAGAACAGTAGCCTCCATTCCATGTTGAAATAGCATGATAAAATTATGTTGATGTGCAGGGAACTGTTATGAACACTATCTTATAGTTGTTTATTCAGAAGTAAGTCTTCCTGAATCCATTGGGCTTACTCCCTATTGGGTTTACTCTATGAGATAGAAAATAGAAACAGAATGAGTCAGAAGGTGTCTCCTGAGCCATCTAGTCTGACCTCTGGCTCCAGCAGCTCTGCTCCTGACATGCCTACCATGTGCATGTCAGGTCTGTTCTTGAACACCTTCACCAATGGGGCTTCAGCCACCTCCTGTGAAAGCCCATTCCATACCCTTGGGGACCTAACTGTCAGGAAGTATTTCCTGACATCCAAACTGAACCTTGGTTCCCTGAGCTTTGCTCCATTGGAATGAGTCTTCTGCAGGGAAAAACAGGTCTCAACCCACCTCCACGTGACACCCCGTCACGTACTTATATGTTGCCAATGGATCCCCTCAGAGTCTCCTCCAGGCTGAAAAAACCTAGTTCCCTCAGTCTCACCTCATACAGTTTCCCTGCAATCTGGCCACCATCCTTGTGGCCCTACTCTGCACCCTTTCTAAGCCAGCTATATCCTTCCTGTAATGTGAAGCCCAGAACTGAACACAATACTCCAGTTGCAAGCATACCAGAGTCGTATAGTGTGGCAGTATTACCTTTCTTGATCTAGAAGCCATTGTTCTGGCTATGCATCCAAGGGTGGCATTTGCCCTTTTGACCGCTGTGTCACACTGATGACTCACGTTTAGCCTGCAGTCAACCAGTGCCCCGAGATTCCTTTCACAGGTACTGCTCTTCAGTCACTTGTCCCCTGACCTGTACTTATGACACCCATTCCTATGCACCAAGTGCAAGACCTTGCGCTTATCCACATTGAACGCCATCCTGTTGTCCCCCACCCACTTCCATAGCCTGCTCAACCTGCTCCTCGGTTGTGACCATAGCCCCCATTTTAGTATCATCTGCAAATATTTTAATAACTGTTAATATCATTTATTGGTTTTAATTTCTACAGCCAGGGGAATCCAGATTTTATATGTATTATTTATATGTTGTTTGTTTATTATGTTGGAAGCCGTCCCAAGGCTTCCAACATAATGGGAATGGGATGGCATGCAAAAACTCCAAATAAATAAATAATAAAGTAAATAAATCTGATCAGCAGACTGGTCACCCCCTCTTCCAGGTCACTGAAGAAAAGATTGAACAGGGTTGGTCCCAGAACAGAGCCCTGGGGGACCCTGCTCGTCACTGGCCATCACCCCGATGATTCCCCACAAATAGTTCCCCTCTACTTTCGGTCCGTCAACCATGCCCTAATCCATTAGACAGTGCATTGGTCTGTCCCAAAACTCCTCAATTTCTCAAGCAGGATATCATGCAGCACTTCATCAAAGGCCTTGCTGAAATCCAGGTAAACAACATCCCTACATCCCTGCATCCCCCCACCATCTAGCCAGCTCGAAAGCTTGTCATAGAATTCCACAAGATTGCCACCTAAAAGTAACTTCACTAGAACATATTTCAGAACATGGAATATCAACTTAGTTCCAAAAACTATGTCAGATTATACTCATTATATTATCACTGATGCCATATATATCATCTCTGCTATGATCCCAATATGTGTTTGTATAACTTGGTGAGCTTGCTTCTAAGCAGTAGCCAGAGTTAATCTGCTGAATCTACTCTGGTTGTAGTGTCACAAAGCAAGACTTAATTCTGCCTACACACTCCCTTTTTGATACTGTCCATGGGGTTTTCATGGCAAGGATACTGGCCATTTCCTTCAACCCTGACTGTTCTTTAGAAGGGCAGATGCTGAAGATGAAGCTCAAATACTTTGGCCACCTAATGAGAAAAACGACTAATTGGAAAGAACCGTAATGCTGGGAATGATTGAAGTCAAAAGGGGAAGGAGACCTCAGATATTGATGGTGCGGAGCGGTGGGCATGTGGCTGGGGGGTTCTGGGAGGTAGTGGAGGACAGAGGATCCTGGTGTGCTGTGCTCCATGGGGTCGCAAAGAGTGGGCATGACTGTGACTGGACGCACACACTCCCCTAGAGAAGCAAGTAGGCAAGGAAGGGAGTGGCTGAACCGCACGGGCTGAACGTGTCCACAGGAACCTTCCTGCAGTGTCCATCTCTCCAACTTGTTTAGGGCACACTCAGATAGGACTTCCCATCTAGCTATCCACCCTTCTGCTGATCCTTGTCAGTTGTTTAGATGGGCAGGAAACGATATGCTTTGATTTATTTTTTTCATACAAGCTTCTCAAGAATGAACTTCAGCCCTCTCATTTCTGGTGCCCTTCCACTTTTCTTTTTGCAGACTCAGTTTGACATAGCTGTTGCAAGTGAAATCATGGCAATCTTAGCACTGACCAGCGGCCTGTCTGATATGAAGGAGAGACTGGGTAAAATCGTAGTCGCAAACAGCAGAACAGGGCAACCAGTGACAGCAGAAGATTTGGTATGGATCACATAATGCTCCTTGCAAACTCTTCACTCTTTAGGGAACAGTCCACCTTTTAAAAAAGTCTTTTCATGTAATTTCAGGTCCGTAGTTGAACATAACTATGGGCTTGAGAGATCCAAGTTGTTTGTTTGCTGCATTCTGGTCCCCAATCTAGTCTCCACTCGGCCATGAAGCTCATGGGGTGACTTTGGGCCAGTCACTGACTTTTAGCCTAACCTACCTTGCAGGGTTGTTTTAAAGACAAAATGATGGGTAAGAGCAGTTTATGTACGCCAGGACTTCTTAGAGGAAAGGTAGGTTATAAATGTAGCAAAGAAACAATCCAGGGGGAGAAACTGTTTCTTTTAGAGGTTTCTGTTTCTAAAGAATTTTTTCCATATCTATATAAGTGGTTTTCAAAGCATGGATAGCAGCGAACCTCACAGAGAAATAAAAGATTTCAGGAAAGGGTAGGCTCCTGAAGAAGGCTAGTTAAATGGCCTCAAGCAAAGAACCCCAATCATTCACTCTGGATTTGTGGGGCCCCATTTTCCCATCATTGCACTCTGATTTGGACTGATGTTAGATCTCAGAGGAGCTCAAGAAAGATGCCACTCACCCCTTCCCCACACTTGCCTGCGTCCCCCGCTCCTGAACAGGCTACCAGAAATGGAGGGCTGGGTGACAGGAGAGCAGGCAGTGATGAGCACAAGTGCGAAGTTCAGATAAGAAAACTGACTAGTGAAGTAGCTGCAGTTGCCACCTTAATTTTCCTAGAATGCTTCTGCATCCTGTGTCTTTTGCGGAGGCTGCAGCTCTTTCACCTGGGCTGTTTCTTATCCCTGCTAGACACATATTTCTTTAAAGTTTTGAAAAGATTTTGCTTTAAATCTAAAAGGGATGCCAGCATCAGTCCTTGTGAACCCTCTGCTTCTCAAGTTTGTGGTGCTTCCTTAATCTGATGGCATATCCCATTGTGTGGTTTTGTATAAAGACAGATATCCACACTAGTGTCAGTGTGTGCGCATCCATGTATCTCTGTCCTGAGCAGCATATTATGTATGTACGTAGGACAACATGCAAGGAATGCTTGATGTTCTCCTGCAGAATGGGTGGCTTGAGGACAAGCCAAGAAGGCAGAATGAGTATAGACAGGGGCACCTAAGTCTTCTGCTGCTAATAGGCTTTTTAATGCTGTTTTTGCTGCAGTTTGTTTTTGCTTTCTTTGTGGGATTGTTTTTAGTTTGTGTGTGTGTGGGAGAGAAAGATGGTAGCTGCCTTGAGTTTGATTTCCTCATAAAAAGGGGGGATATAGATGTCTGAATAAATAAATAAATAGTCTGGGAAACACTGGCCAATATACATACCCATGCATATGCTGAAAAAAGGGGAGTTTTGCAGATGAAAACATGGAACTGCAACTACAAATAACTCCTTAAATGGTAAGAGCAGTGTCCTAGATTTTAAGCCTCAGAAGTATTTTAATGTCACCTTGAATGCACACTTCAATTAACACTTAACATGTGTTTGAAAATGAACACACTTTTAAAGTTGTCTGATTTTCTATATATTGAAATGATACTTTGACAAGTAGTCTTCAATTCATTATTTAATGTTCAGCCTAAACCACTAATTCCTTCTCTCTTTCATTTGTTTCGGATGTGAATAATGTTTAATATACCCTGCAAATATGCAATTTCTCTTAATTTCAGGGTGCTATACCACATTTCCAATGCAGTGTAATGAAATCTAAAATACACATTGGCCGATGAAAACCAGATGCTGTAAGAAAGGGTTGGAGGTGGGAGGTGGCAGGGAAGAAAAGATAAATTGAGTATTTCATAAACTCAGGGGCTCCTTTCGCAAATGTAATGGGTTTGAAAAATCCAGCCTCTGTAATGGAACTACAGAATTTGTTGCCAAAATATGGTGCTCATTGAGCAGAGTTCTGAAGACTAGATTGCAATTTGGCTGCTATATTACAGCACAATGTTTGATGGACAGATGCCATATCTCCATGGTAAATTAAACTGGCATGTTCAAGATTAGTATTTCAGCAGCCATGAGGAATATTAAATAAATATGTAACTATTTGTATAGTAGGGAAGCTTCTCAAGTTACGGTGCAAGGCTGTTTTAAAAATGTTGAAGTCCCATTACCTCTATGGTCATGTACTCCTTTTACAAAGCACATACGAGCGACAATATTGTTTGCAACTGAAGGCTCCAGGTTTTTTGTGCTGAATTTATGTTAAGGCTTTTGAAAATTCTTTGGCCTCTATCTTAATTCTTAATCAAATCCTTTCATTTATATCTGGTGTCCGAAGAGGCTTTATTTCAAACTCAGTTGAGCAAAATATCCAAGCAGACATTCCATCTGTATTTTCAAGTCAAACATTTCTATGAAAAACTGAATTCAAATAATCTTAAAAAGAGGGACCATTGTGCTTTGATGAAGGTATGTTCTCAGTTTTGATCTTAAAAGGCAAGAAAATGGGTTAAGAATAGCTTTTGGGGAGGGGAACCAGAAAGTTGATTGCAGCTTTAAAATCAATATACACTGTTGAGTGCCAGCTAATGGAGAACTTGGCTTGTTTGTTTGTTTGTTTAAGACATTTGTATGCCATCCTTTGTGAAAGTCTCAGGACGGCTTACATGAATAAAATTCCACAAAAGAATAGCATAAAACATTCAAATAGCATAAAACATTCCACAATATATCCTCTCTTAATTAATAAAAGTAATAAAAATAAAATGCATCTGTATATAAATTAGCAATATTAATAAAATAATATTAGTTGTTAAAATGGAGATTAAATAAAAAGGACTTTACCCGGCGCTGAAAGGAATAGAGGATTGGCACCAGGTGGACCTCTCTGGGGAGCATGTTCCATAGTCTGGGTGCCACCACAGAGAAGGCCCTCCTCCGCATGGATACCCTCCGTACCTCCCTTAGAGAGGGTTCCTGCAGTAAGGCCTCCCCTGCTGATCTTAAGGAGTGTGAGGGCATATAGGGGAAGAGACATCCTTCAGGCATCCAGGAACCAGGCCATTTAGGGCTTCATAGGCAAGTACCAGCACCTTGAATTGGGCCCAGACTTCAACTGGGAGCCAGTGAAGCTGGTAGATGACTGGCGTTATATGAGAATAACGCCCAGTCCCCGACAGCAGCCTGGCAGCTCTATTTTGCACCAATTGAAGTATCTGGACTGTTTTCAAGGGCAGCCCCACATAGAGCGCATTACAATAATCCCACTGGCTTTCTAGTTATAGCTCCAGTTTTACAGATATCCATTGGAAAAAGCGTTCTAGCCTGTGGTCTCAGTGATGGCTCTTCCTGAGCCAGATATCACCAGAAGTACCTTGCTTAATCAGTCTAAGACAGGCTTTATGTAGTCCAGCACCCTGGTTCTAGCAGAGCCAGTTGGAAGCCTCCGAGAAGCCTAAGTGCAGGACAGGAAGGTGACGGTCCTCTCCTCTTGCTTCCCAGCAGCAGCAATAGGAATGTTGCCTATAGCCATTACGACTGGTAGCACTTGATAAGGAACAAATAAGTCATCCATGCTAATTGCCTTGTAGTGTAGCAGTGCATTTCATAGATTATGTGCTGTGTGAAGAAGTACTTCCTGTGATCTGTCCGTTCAGTTTCATGGAATGACCCTTATGCATTTTCTCCACATCAGGCATAATTATCTAAACCACTGTCCTGTTCTCTAATTTGCCTTTTTCCTCAACTTAAAAAAGTCCCCAGCATTGTAGCTGTTGTCATAGAAAAGATGTTCCAGTCCCCTGACCCCTTGCCACACTTTTTTCAGCTCTGCAGGATCCTTTTTGAGATGGGATGTACACATTATTCCAAAGCTGGTCTTTGTTCTTGTTATGTGCCATCAAGTCATCTCCGCCATATGGCAACCCTAGGAATGAAAGCTGTCCAAAAGGTCCCATCCATGGCAGCCCTGCACAGCTCCTGTAATGTGTTCTTACCACATTTTATATAAACGTTTAACACTGGCAGCTTAATCTCAGTGAATTTCCTAATATTGAGCTTGCCAGTTTTGTTGCTGCTTTATGTCAAACTGACAGTGTTCAGTCTTTTTAACACATTGCTAAGATCTCCTTTTTGAATCGTCACACCTGAGTCATACTCCATCAACATGTATTGGCTTAGCTTGGTTTCTTAGTCTTGTGGGTGGGCTGCTGACTCTTTGGCTAGCCTACCTCAGATTGTTCTGAGGATACAATGGAGAGGAGGAATATCAGGAATGCCACCTGGGGCTCCTTGACAGAATATAAATGGTACAAACAAAAATATTTTATATATAAATGTTAGGGTTTTCCAGATTAAAGACAAACAGAGAATGGAATTATTTTTTGTTAGCAATTCTTATCTTGTTTGGAGAGAGATTTCTCTATGGTCTGCTTGGATTGCACCATTTTAAATAATGTGGAATCATCAGCAAACGTAACTACTTCCTAGTAGCATTGCATTTATGGAGGGCATCCTTTCCTAGTGGGAAAAGCAACCCCTTCCACAGAACTGGGAAGGGACTGAAAGGGCAGCAATGTCAAACCTTTGCCTACAAGGTACAACCAACCAATCCAACCTACGCCATCCCATCTACAATGTGTCACCAAGACAGAGCAGATGAGCCAGCAAGAGGGGCCAGGTGTCTGTGAAGGGCATACAAAGGATGGCATTCCTGCCACAAGGAGGATTCGTTCCAACAGCAAGGCCTTCTTTGTGTGGAGTAAAGCTCATTTATACTTGCTTGTCTTTGAAAAGAACTCTTAAACTAACTTACCAGGTTGCCAGTGGAGACCATTTGTCCTTCACTGTGCCAAGAACCTAGAGGACTGCACAAAAATGGTCTCTCAATAAGTACCAGTTTTGTGGGAAGCAGACGTTTCTACAAAAGTCCCATATAAAGGAAAACAACATCCAGCAGTAGGCTTAGCAGAGTCTTCTGAATTTTACTCCTTTCTCTTTCATTTTGAGGTGACAGTGATGGAGGCCAAGTTTCTTTTTTATAACTTGCTTTTATTTTAACATCCTATGAAGGGAGAAGCATTTTTTTGACCGTAGTAGATTTCTTAAACAAGACTTTATTTGCTCTGATAATTAACAAACTTATTTTTAAGTTTCAGATAAAATTGACCTGAACATGAAAACTAAAGCTTATGTCATTCTTTTTTAGGGAACAACTGGTGCTCTGGCAGTTTTGATGAAGGATGCCATTAAACCGACATTAATGCAAACATTAGAGGTGAGTCTAGCCATCCCTAACCATTTGCTTCCCCTCATTTTAAGGCTGTTCCTACACTGCCAGAGAGATACTTTTAAAAAATTTAAAATGAAATTGTGCCTCTGACCACAAGCAGAGTAGATATTGATATCCCCTTTTGTAGCCCTTTGTATGTGCCTACCTCCTCCCTGGAAGGTAGGGAGACCTCTTGATTCAAATTGGGGTGGAGAAGGGGCACCTGCAGAGAGGAGGGGAAGAAAGGAAAATCCTGCAGTACTACCAAAAGTCTGCTTGCATATATTGAATATTGTCATATTTGTTCCATTTCTATACCATCCATTAGTCCAAGTTCACAGGAGGTTTACAAAACAAAGCTTAAAACCATAAATATAATGACAGTGTAAAATTTATTTTGAGAGCCAGAAGCTTAAAGCTGATGGAAACCAAAAGAACCCAAGGTAAAAGCCAACATTGGTGAAAAGATCTAAAACATACACTATTCTTTCTTCTTTCTTTTTAAAGTGAAAGCTAAAATGTGCAACTGATTCCATCGCATCATTTTTCGTATTGTGTGATGCAAGGAGAGGATGGGTTTTTTCCTCAACCTCCAGAACTGTAGAAGTTCCATTTTGGAATACCTGTGCTAGAAGTACAGTATGTTAGGACAGATATTTTTGCATTAAACATACTATTGTGTTAGGATTTGAAATGTTATTGTTCCATGGGGGGGGGGCATATTGAAAAGCACCGTCTGTAGTGTAGTGTAGTATTTAGGATGTTGGCCCAGGACTTGGGAAAGTCACTTAGCTGTGGAACTTCCTAGGAGACTTTGGGCCAGCCACTAATTTGCCAGCCTAACCTACCTTGTAGAGTAGTTTTGAAGATAAACTAGTGAAGAGAGCCAGTGTGGTATAGTGGTTAAGAGCCTGGGACTGGGACTCAGGCGATCTGGGTTCGAGTCCCCGCTCGGCCATGGAGCCAACTGGGTGACTTTGGGCCAGTCACAGACTCTCAGCCGAACCTACCTCACAGGGTTGTTGTTGTGGGGATAAGATGGAGGAGGAGAATGATGTAAGCTGCCTTGAGCCCTTTGGAGGAAAAAGGCAGGAGGTAGGTAGACAGACAGACAGACAGACAGACAGACAGACAGACAAAATGGAGAGGAGAGGATCACGTGTGCTGCCTTGGACTCCTTGAAGAGAAGTCAAGTTATACATGAAACAAACATAATTTGGGTGCTACCTCAGAAATGGAGATGTAGCAACTCCTTTAGGTTTAGGGAGGACAGTTTTACATGAAGTTTCTTGAAAGGGCAAGGAGCATCTATTGGGGTAGATTGAGGCATCTTGCAAGTCCCTCTGCAGCCCTGTGCCTGCAACCCTTCAAAATGGCCTTTGAAGGGTTAAGGACCCTCCAAAGCACCGTGAGAGGCCAGGAGGGTGCTGCAAGGGGCAGTGGGGTCCCTCCCTCTGCCACAAGCAGGAGCAAACAGAAGGATGCCTTCGACGTACAAAATAGCTGCACTGGCCAAACTTGTCTTTTCATCAGAGCATACGCACTCTTTAAAAAATCCCGCACTATCTCTGTTGAAAACTTCTTTGCATTATCACATTCCTTGTATATAAGAGGGCTTCCATTTATGTGGTGAGTGTTATTAGAACCAGCTTTCTCTAAGCCTAATTTTGGTTTGGTTTTACCAGTTATCCTTTCATGTGGCAAAATGGGATATGCACATGGATCCTTTAGCAATATTTCAGAATGACATCCATTTAAAAACCCTAGGGAGTCATAAGAATTATGAACCATAATGCTGACATACCAAACTACTATTCAGATACCATGTTTAATGTGTATTATGCATCACTTATACCTAGTTAAGACTTACAGCATTGCTGTTTTTTTTAAACACACGGACAGATGCTATAAATGTCATTTAATTGGAAGAACTGGCTTGTCTTGTCAAGCTACACCAGTATTCCAGTTTCTGCTAGGCTGTAGACATTAGCTAATTCTTTTTAAAGGCACAAGACTTCTTTTTTAATTTCCACCTACCAGGAAGCCTTCCAACACTACTATTATCATAGAATCATAGAATAGTAGAGTTGGAAGGGGCCATGAAGGCCATGAGTCCAACCCCCTGCTGTTGCAGGACACCAGTTTACACCATTCCATTCAGATGGCTGTCCAGTTTCTTTCTGAATGTCTCTAGTGTGAGCGAGCCCACCACCTCTCTAGGCAGCTGGTTCTATTGCCATATCGCTCTGAAAGCAAGGAAATTTTTCCTGATAACTTGCCTTTATCTGGGTTGTTGCAACTTGAATTGATTATTCTGTGTCCTACACTCTGGCATCATTAAGAAGAGAACTTGATCTACCTCTTTGTGACAGCCTTTGAGGTACTTATAGAGGGATATCATGCCCCCCATCAATCTTCTCTTCTCAAGGCTGAACATGCCAGACTCTCTCAGTCTGTCCTCATATTCCAAACCCTCCTCCATACTTTGCCCTTCTGTACTTTGCATTGACTACTATATTATAGCCTCGTACATATTATATTATGAATTCAAATAATGCCCTAGCAGGGAGGCTCTAGCATTGCAATATTTATTTATATTTATTCATATCTTCTTGCAAGGAACCCAAGGTGGCCTACATGATGGTCTTCCACTCCATTTTATCCTCACAACAACCCTGTGAGGTAGGCTAGGCTGAGGTTCAGTGACTGACCCAGAGTCAACCACTAGTATCTCCCAAGTCTCAACCCTACAGTCTAATTGCTGTGCCCCACTGGCTCATCATTGCAATATTTGCTGTATGAAAAAGCATGCTGGCTGACTAAATGAAACTGCATAATACTACACTAACATTATTTCCCTGGTAAACATCATCAACAGTCTTTTGGTTTGAGAAGAAATATGAATTGTATTTAAATTATAATGCAACCAATAGTTGCTTTTTTGCTGTGTCTACCTATTTTGTTATTTTTCTACAGCTTCTGTTTCAAAGCACACACAGCAGATGAGCTGTTGGATTATTGATATAATATAACGTCTTTTGTTGAACACCTCTTCCCAGTTTTTCTTTGCATTACATTCCTTTCTTCTCTCCCTTGGCCTTCACCGTTAATGAAAGAGAACTTGTGTTTTCACAGATGGAATTGCCATAGGCTGTCCCTTTCATACGGTTCCTAGAAGAATTTTAGAACTGTTGAATCAGATAGACATTTATTAGAATCACATGGATTAATAGTGAATTAAAAGGGCTAGCACCAGTTATATTATTTTTCCTTTAAAGTTCTAATTAATTTTAATCATGCAGTACTATGTATTGGCAGTATCCAATTGGACTCTCGCATTAATATACATTACAAAATGCTAGAACGAGGGACCTCTCACACAAGACTATGCTGGCATGCTGGGTTTCTCACTGAGTTCAGTGGGGCTTCCTCCCATGTAAGCTGAGAAAGGACTGCAGCTGAAGTTAAACTGTGCTGAATGGCAAAGTCAGCCTCCCTCAGCCTGATGCCTTCCAGATTTGTTGGACTACAGGTTCCATTATTCCTGACTTTGGCATGCTGACTGGGGATGACAGCAGCTGAAGTCCAAAGCATCTGGAAATCCTCTGGGAAAGGATGTCCTAAGTTAATGCAACTGGCTCATGACATTGACCTGATTCCAAGTCCCCATTTTTTAAATCCACGTCTGACATCACATGTAGTGCAGGCACTAATGCCGAATGTATGTCACATGTTCATTTCTTCTTTTAGGGTACACCAGTGTTTGTGCATGCTGGCCCATTTGCAAATATCGCCCATGGCAATTCTTCTGTTTTGGCAGACAAAATTGCCCTGAAACTGGTTGGCAAAGAAGGATTTGTAGGTGAGTGTAAGCTGATTTCCTTTGGGCTTGTTCGTGTAGTGCAAGAATGGGTCCGCTTGACATTATGTCTCAGGTTGCGTATAATGTTACTTGCAGGGAGCGCTGAGGTGGGGACTTGGCTCCATGCCAGAGCACCTGCTGTACACCAGGAGCCCCCAGCTCAGTTGCCACAATCTCCAGGTAGGGCCGGACAAACACCCCAGTGAAAGTGTTGAGAGCTGCCTTTGGCCATCTGACAAGACTAGATGGCTCATGGTCTGACTCAGTAGATGGTGGCTTCCTCCATATAATGTTGGCATGCTCTCCATCAAAGAAATCTCCTGTCTGACTTGCTTATTGGGATTTCAAGGTTAACCTTGGAGCCATTTTCCTGGAGAGATGGCCACTGAATTCGGAGACAATAGACATTTTCACAATGGGATGATGTGGACCTTGATATTTTTTATCCTTTTAACAGTGTTCCAAATTGGAACAGTGTTCCAGTCCAGGTTGAGAGTTTGTGTTTAATTCCATTGTTTCAAATAGCTTCAGCAGAAAGATTCCATGGTGCATTTTTCTTGAGATAACCTGGCTATTTAGATCTTTCTCCTATATTTGTAGGGGCTTAGGTCAGTGGTAGAGCACATATTTTGCACACGGAAGATCTCAGATTTGGTCCGGGTAGAACTGGAAAAGACCACATCTGGCACTCTGGAAAGCTGCTTCTACTGGGATGGATGGACTAATGGTGTCACTCAGTGAAATGCTTCTTCCTGTGTTTTTAATTTGAATGTTAGAGTGTAAAAGGCCCTGCAGAAGTAATGTCTGATGGTGGTATAAGGAGTGGGAGAATGTTGTGGGATCTCCCATCAGGGGATCTATGTTGGGGAGTTCCCAGTGTTACCAGGCCAAACCAAGGAGACTCTCATTTCTAAACCCAGGCCTGAAACTACATTAGCACAGATGTAGGTTATCCCTTCTCATCCAGAAACTCCTGGAGCTAAGAAACTACCACATGTCTCAGCACCTTGACCGAGAATGGAATATTGGAGACAGACTTGAATGATCTAGCAGGGTGGGCCTCAGGGAGGGCCTTTCACACAGATGTTTTACCACCACCTTCTCAGGCAAGATGGAGTCAGACCTTGCCATAAAGAAGGATTCACGTCTGCCCTTAGCCAGTAAGCCAGGCCTCCATTGGCCGTTCTTATAAGCAGTGAAAGGGTAGTGTCCATGACAAATGCACTGGTCCTGAAAACTAAAATCTGCAAGTTAATATCTCTTCTATGAAATACCTTTTTAAAAAATTAATGTATCCATGACAAATGTCAAGAAATTGCCCACAATTCAGACTGCTTGGGAAGTGAGGGTCTTAAACAGCATGAACGCGTTGAGCCCAACCCACATCTGAAATACCCTTGATAAACAAAATGATGAATACTAAGCAATGAAAGAAGTGTGCTTGTAAATATATTGATGCTGGCTACTAACTCATAAAATTAGCAGAATGCAATTCCATTATCAAGGGCAGTCACATTGAACAGAAGCAGAAACTCAGTAGCTGTGTGTGAGCCCAGGAGGACCACAGTTCCCAGAAAGAAATGGGGGCTCATGGAATTTTCTGGCTTTATGAAGGTCACCAGTAGGGATGGACAGACCGCTCTATTTATGGTCTATGTCAGCTTTACACGTGATCATTCAGAAGTCCATCCATTTCCACATCACTCTGCACTGGGGTTTGTAAAATTGCAAAGGGTTGTATTATTTTGAACACTGCTCCCTGTCCCAAATATGAATTTGCTCTAGAATATGCATCCTGCTACATATTTTGAACCAAAAATGTATTACAAAATTTGGAGAAGCATGAAAACTGAAGGATAACTATGTACATGCATCTACATTTTCATTCAAGGAGGGCAAATTAGGTTGTTTACTGAAAATGTTTGTCTCCAAGAAGTGTCTGACTATAAAATCCCCCCATCCCCAACCAGCATGCTGACTTGCTATGCTGTCTGGGAATGGGATTTGTAGTTAACTGAATGGGTGGATATCAGTTTGGGAAATATTGATCTAGAGTTTTCCCTGACATTACTATTTTGTAGGTAATATTCGGGTAAGTGGATTCACACACAAAGATAACTTAAACAATGGCATGGCCATTTCAGGATCGAAGAAGTCCATTGGCATTTAGAATGCATTTAGAATGCGTATTGCAGCATGTTGGTTTACTTAACCCAGTGAATCCCTGAAGCAGTTGTCACTAAGGGATAGTTGTATGGTAAATCAAGGACAGGAGTTGGCATATCAATTAAAAACTATGTGTTTATGGCCATGATCCAGTGAATAGAAAATTTTGGTTTGTTTTCATTGTATTTTGACTTGACTTGCTTCTCTATCACAAAATAAATGCTTCAGCATTTACAGTTTAAGGAAAGAAGAGAATAGATTACGTTTTAAAAACTTCATTAAGGTTTTTATTGTAGAGGGATATCTGTTTTATAAGCATTCACAGTCACTCCTTTCTCATGTCCCCTGTAAGATAGGAATGTTTTCTGTTATTGCACTAACTGATAATGGGAGACGCTTTGGCAGGCTTCTGAGTGTTGTAAGGCTAAGCAGAACTAAGCTTGAATAAGCTGTCTAAATAATTTACTTTCTTTATACGACACTGAAAATGTTCATCAAATAAATGAATAACGGTAGTTCCTTAGCTATCTATGTAGCATGCACACATGGCTGTGCAGTTGTATTTCAAGATTATTTTTATATACAGTCACACTCAAAAGTGCATACAAAAAGTTATAAATCACATTGTAAAAACAGTGCAGCATATGTGTTTAAAATAGGAAATGAATGATATCGACTACTTTTTAAATCTTTTATAACAAGCCTGTCAGTTTTTCTTTGGCAGTAGTCTTTTCTCCAAAAAAGGAAGCAAATCCTGAATGCTTTTAACTGCATTTAGTGACAACAACACATGCAGTGTCTTAATATTTGCATTGTTTGGGTCCTTTATCATTGCTCTTTTTTTACCTGACTTCAGTGAAAAATCAGTAAGCAATGAAACATAGAAACAGAGCAAGTCAGAAGGGGTCTCCCAGGCCATCTAGTCTGACCTCCGGCACCAGCCGGCTCCGCTCATGACATGCCCACCATGTGGACGTCCAGCCTGTCCTTGAACACCCGCACCGATGGGGCCTCAACGACCTCTCATGGAAGCCCATTCGAAACCCTCGGGGTCCTAACTGTCAGGAAGTGCTTCCTGGCATCCAAATGGAACCTTGGCTCCCTGAGCTTTGCGCCGTTGGAGCACGTCCTGCCTTCCTCTGCAGGGGAGAACAGGTCTCTACCCATCTCCATGTGACATCCCCTCACATACCTGTATGTCGCCAACATATCCCCTCTGAGTCTCCTCTTCTCCAGGCTGAAGAGACCCAGTCCCCTCAGTCTCGCCTCATACGGCATCCCCTGCAAACCAGCCACCAACTTCGTGGCCCTACACTGCACTGACTCTTTTAGAGAGCATTAAATTCAGACTCTTAAATATACCATGTCATAGCATAGCCTTTGTAGTTTCATTTCTCTTCATGAATAAGAAAATAAGATGAATTCTTAGCATGTTACTGCTGCAATAGCATTTCTCCTTTCCTTTCCTTTCTTTCAGTCAAGTGTTACACAATAGCTGTGATCTGTGAGTAGGAAGATCTGAGGTTAATCACTGTTCATCCTTAATTAGACAATAATAAGTAACCATATGGAGTGTCTCTCTCAGTATGAACATGAAACTACAATCTGCATTTGAGCCCTTTCTTTAAGGGAGGTTTCAAAGATGGCAACAAGGGAGAGAGCCTTCTCACTGGTGGCCCCTTGACTGTGGAATGCTCTCTCCAGAGAAGCCGAATGGGGATTAACTTTGACATCTTTTCTGTTCTGTGTTAAAGCTTTCCTCAACAACCAGGCATCTGACAGCATATGATGGGACTTTTTAATGCTATTTTTTTACTGTGTCTTGGTACTTGTTTGTGTTAATTGGTTTTAGCTAGTCAGACTGTTCCATATGTTTACACTTTAAAGGTTTTATTATGTTTTATCATGGTTATGAAGCACCCAGAAAGCTTTGCCTGTTGGTCCTTGTAGAATGGAATGAAGGAATGACCTCTAGGCCAATCTTTCCTCAGCTTCATTTCAGGCAACACTCTAAGCTTCCACTAATCGGGATGGAAAAATGTGTATCGTGTGTGTGCGGTTGATGGGATGGGGCAGGATGTAGGGGAAAAGTTCTGTGTTGGCTGGGACTCGATATTATGGTATCACTGGGATCTTCCTGTTCCCTTTGCCTCCATAATATAATAATGTTATATATTAATATAACATTATATTACAATAATATTATATTATAATAATGTTAATAATATATAATGTTATTTATTATTATATGTATTATTATATATAATAATATATAACTCCAATATAATAATGGTGTGTTCCCCGTCCTCTGTCACCAGCAGCTGGTGAGAATGCACCCAACTTGACTTAAGGAAGTACCTGTGGTGCTAAATGTTACAGAGAAAGTGGGGGCAGCTTGAAGAGTGGCTGTTATTATATATCAAACTGTGAGTCAAAATTGTAATGGGAAGGTAGAGAGGGAAGGTCTACAAATCTAAAAGAGAATCAAAAAATCGCTACAATAAAAGACTTTTATTGCTGTATGCGGGACTGGCAGACTTCTGGATGCTCTTAGTCAGAGTGGCGTTCCCAGAGCCCCGCCTCCCCCATCTACCACCTCCCACCCTTCTGCTGTCTACCACTGCCTGCCCGTTCTGCTCCTGTGGGAGGCATCACCCGCCCCTCTGTTTGCTGCCGACTAACTGCTGCACACCCAAATGCTTAGCATACGGGACACCTCTCTTTGGAACAGAAGAGACTACACAGAGCACAGGCAGCTGATTCCAAGGAGAGCTGCTCTGAGAGATTTATTCATTTATTTATGTATTGCTTTTATATACCATCCACTACAAGCG